GCCTCATCATGCTCACCTGATGGATGTTTCTCCACTCTGTCTCTCTGAGTTTAAGGCTCCCTGGTTTCCTATATGCAGACGAGGTGCTCCGAATACTTTTAAGCAAACGTTGATCTGCTTTAGATAACACCAGTCCTGTGAAATAGGTTTAACATTTTCGATTTCACGTCCACCAAAGCCTGGTTGAAGTCGCTCAGATCTCTCCCTGCGACGGAGAAAATCAGTCAGATGACAGCCGTCACATAAAGCTGACATTCTCCTTCTCTTATCCGCCTGCATCTTTGTGACATCGATAATACTACTGTTTGTAAATCTCATTTCTCTGGCTGAGAGGCAGCAGGCACTCGGCCCCCCCGCAGCCTCTCCTCCTCGTTGACCCCCGTACAGCCGAGCAATCAAGGACAGCCGCCAGATATCACACTGAGCGCCTCGCCGTGAAAGGCCTGAGTTTCTCTTAATAAAACGAGACGAGGGGCTGCGGCTGACTGCATTTCCTCCATCAGGCCCCCCCGCTGACCCTCCGCCAGGCCCCCCCCCCACCCTCCATCTGTGAGTGGCACTGACTGTTCACACTGTCAGTAAGCTTTGATTTATGGAGAAGCACATCCTCATCATTAAGGTCTCTATGATGTTCTTATAGCAGCTTGTTCCTCTGTGACTGGCTGTGGTGACTCATCTCAATCTTTATTGATTTATATAGCACCTTTAAAACCATAGTGCTGTACAGGGAACGAACATACAATAACACAATAGGAGTAAAATAATAAAACAATAATTTAAAAACAAGATAAAAAGCACTATAACTAGAGACGTATAAAAAACACATACAAATATCAACATTTTATGCTCAACTAGTTTTAAAAGCCAGTGCAAAGAGGTGACCACCTGTTTGGAGTTTTAGGCAGCAACACGTCTTGAGTTCGGACTGAAAATCACTGCTTTATGATCCTGTTTGACTTGAGGTGTAGTGAGGTCAGTCTGTCGTTGTGTCCTTAGACCAGAACCTTCCCCCCAAATTGCTCCTGTGCAGATTGCCCACAGCAAGTCGCTTTGGGTAAAAGTCACATGTAATGTAATGTGAAAGGTGTTGGGCTCTAAAATGTGTTTTTTTCCCATTACTTGACACTGGAGAGTAAACACAGGATTTTATGATTTCTTGCCTAATTTAATAATCCACGTTTAACGTTTTCAAAGATGTTTTTTCCCCAGGCATCTTTTAATAAAAAGAAACAACAGTCTCGCATCAATTACTAAAATAGGTTGTTTTCAATAATCGCTGAAGCTCTAGTTGAGATTTCAAACCATGTGTGTGTGTGTGTGTGTGTGGCCTAGCATTACTATACTTGTGGGGACATAAATCTGTTTACACAGTCACGTGTGGGGACTCGCCTCCCAAATTGGAGGTCCCCATGAGGGGAATCATTAATTTTAGGGTGAAGACTTGGTTAGGTTTAGGATTAGGGTAAGGGTAAGGTTAAGGGTTAGGGATGTGTTGGTTATGGTTAAGGTTAGGATAAGTCTCCAGGAAATGCATGTAAGTCAATGTAATGTCCCCTGAAGTGATGTATACACGGTGTGTGTGTGTGTGATTTGGAGTTTCTTGCAAGCTGGCTCCATCTGCTTCCAGTCGTTATGTTAACCCAAGCTTAGTGTTTACTGGCACGACATTAGAGCGGTCTTCTTATCTCAATTGTGGGAAGACAACTGTTTAAGACACCACCACTTAACACATTTTTCTCCCCTTCTGCAACCGAGCAAAGATAAAATGTCTTCACCCTGTTATTCCACTGAATATTACAAAACTGTTGCTGCATCCGTCCCCAGCACGAGGAGTTTGAGGAGAGGTGCTTCACATCTGACTCTGTGTCCTCGTTGAGCGGTTTGAAATGGATGAGTCGTGTTTTGACTGCTCTGTTCGAGCAGTTTCCCTTTGCACCAAAACACATTTCATTCTCATTTGTTAATCAGTGTTTGTTCTCCTTATAACAACGTGGATGCTTTATATAAGGTTGTTAACATCCTGAATTACTGTGCAGATCAAAATAAAGAATGCATCAGCACTTTCTCATATGTAACTATTTGTTTGCTTTGACTCCTAAATGCAATTTACTATTACATTAATATGCATCGTCTGACTTGCCTTGTGTCTGAACGGTGTACATAAACATCCCTTGCTTTGCTCACGGCTCTGAAAACATGTCTACCTGCGTGCTGCTGCTGCTTTGTGCTTCTGTATAACGCGACCCCCGTGCCTTTGTACTCACGAGAGCCCTCAGCTAGTGGATGTTTTGGAAGCAGAGCGGTGTCACGTGAAGCCCTGCTTTCACTCTCGCACCGATCAACAGTTTACACAAAGCTTTTGACGGCTTTCCAAAGACATTCTGCTTCACAGTGAGACATCTTTAGAGGCGAAGGACGTTCAGTTTATGTGAGCAACCGCTGCAATCACACACAGCCTCGAGTTTCCTCTTTACTCAGGAGAAATGATTACACTGAAGAAGATAAGTGTTGTTTTGATTTGAACTGAAACAGACAGAGGTCTTGTGGGTAGTCTACCACAACAGTAATATGTCAAGCTCTTTCTCTGTGTGTTTCTCAGGGGATTCCTTCACTCAATTCCGGTTTTCCGAAGAAAAGGACTGGGAGATGGACTCATCTGCAGACAGTCAGGTGAATCCATACACTACCCAATCTGCAGCATTGCTTCTCTGTCTTTTATGGATTCATCCCACTTTGAGGTATGGATCCCTCGAAGGTCTGGATTGGAAATGCTACAGCAGTTAGAAAGCAGAAAAAGCTAATATAGCATTGCTAGCGCATTAGCAGCACATCTGTTGATGGGTTGGTCCCTCTCTTTGGTCCACACTGACATATTTACACTATTATCTGAAAGGTTGGCGACACATTTTACAGAGACATTCATGGTTCCCAGAGGATGCATCAAACTGAACTGGGTGACCCTCTGACTTTATCTCTTACGCCAACATGAGTGTGAGTGAAATGTCTCGACAATTGCTGAAGAGGTCAACTTTATGAGAACTAACCAGGTGTGTTAAACTCAACCACTGGAAATGAGGCTTCTCACGTACGATTTGGTCCACATAAAACCCTAAAAAGTCACCTTAAAAAAGTTATCTTGTAAGGCAATCATGTGTTATCCATTACAAATCTGCTGAAAAGCAAACACTATACAAAACAAATCATCATCCAGTCTGGTGATATAACCATTCCTGAACTCTTTCTACTTCATGTGTACAGTCAGAGCAGCAGTGTGTTGTACAAAGGAGTATTGATCTGGATTCGACTTCTCTCAGTATGATTACAAAAGAAGTATGATGTTCCACTGAAGTTTGAAGTCTCCATTTTACAGCCCGTTTCCTGGTTTCCTCTCTAGATGTCCGCAGTGTTCGTCGACCTCCCGGCGCTCGCCCAGATCCTCCAGCAGGTGCCTCTCCTTCAGAGACTCCACCTGGAGGAGGAGCTGCTCCAGGTGAGCTGGGTGACTGATACAAATGCGAAAATAGTCTTGGTTTATGATTATAGTTTGTTGACAATATGACCAAATAAATCGTAGTAAAGTATGTCCAAAAAACTCCATATTATAGTATTTAAAAATGTAAAAAAACTCAAAGTATGTTGAAAATATCAGACATACAATGAGGTTTTTTTCCGACATAGTATGACTTTTTTCAGATATTTTTGGAAAACCTCATGTTGAGAAACTCCATAGTACTGTATGTCAACAAAATAAGGTCATAGTATAGTATGTCGAAAATATCTGAAACAAAACGTCATATATTTGTATGTCCAAAATATCTTACATACTTTACTATGTTTTTTTTCGACATACTTCTATACCATTACTTTTTTTTCTGATATTTTGGAAAACCTCTTAGTAATATGTTGAGAAAAACTCCATAGTATAACATATTACTGTAAAATGTGGTCGTAGTATAGAATGTCGAAAAATATCTGAAAAAAAGTTATTGTACAGTATATTATGTGTTGAGTCGACAAAACATCATAGATTTGTAGGTCTAAAATATCACAATAAAGGTCAGAGTGAAGTATATAAGTATCCGAATTCCCCACTGCCTTGTTGCAGGTTTTAATTTAATTTGTTACGCTTACCCTGCATCAGGTCTCGACCCCAGTGGAGCTGCCCACTATGACCTTCACTCACAAACAGGAAGTTCCCAAAATGTCCGCCTTCACTCCTCCGTCTGCAGTGCTGAAAGTCCCGTGCTCCGACCAGAAGGTCCCCGTGGCGACACACCCAGCGACGGCCTCACACTCGCAGGTTCCCTCGCTGGCGGAGGATGAGGGTGACGAAGAGCTGGACCAGCTGCTCGGTCTACAGAAACCAGTCTCAGGAAACCAGTCCGTCAGTTTGGAGGAGGACAGGAAGGTTCCAGAGAAAGGTGATTTTATTCAGCGTATCTTTTGTGTCTTTGTTCAAGTTTGACATTTTGGGAGTGAACTAATGACATAAGGAGCCCTAACGTGTGTTCGTTAATTTTGCAGAATGTGAGGAAGCGAAGGAGGTAATACAAGAGAAGACCGTAGAGGAGAAAGAGAAAGACGTCACACCGCCCAAATCTACATCGGTCAAACAGGAAATGACGGAGGACGACCTGGAGGACTGGCTGGACAGCATGATCTCCTGACCAATGAAAGGACTTAGAGACGGACGATGTATATAAAAAGGGAAATGGACTTTAATTGTCAGCCTGAAAGCCATTAAAACATCTGTGTGCTGGACAGATGTTTGTACAGTCAAGTTCCAGCTTCTTACTTTGCTGAATTAAGAGGCAGTTTGTTCATTAGTTCCCATGACAGTATTTGAGGTGTAGAGACAGGACAGTATGTCTTTCTAAAGTGTGTCAAAATGTTCCTTTTGCACATCATGTTTCAGAGAAAGAATCCTCTGTTCCTTGTGAAAGTAACACACCGCAGGAGTCACCCCGCTGCACAAGAGACAGATGGGACACGTGGCTTTATTGCGTCAACTTCTTTATTCATTTCCTCCCCCTCATCAAAAGAAATGCAGATGGCCAAAGCTACGACATACATAGAAATGTCATTACAATAGCAGTGAAGAGTTTAGTCGTCAATAAACACTTGAACCAAGATTTGTTTTTTTTGTGTTTTCTCTTTTTGGGGCCCTTCTACTGTAAGAGGGCAGGACACCACAAGTTAGAAATAAAACCAAACCAAGCAACATTTACACGAGGATGATCTAATGTAATCGTTTTAAAAGCCGCTAATTCTAAACCAGAGCTAAAGCACTGCTTGTGTCAGGAGGGACGAAAATGATAAATGTTTTTTTGCATAGTTTCTCTTAAGGCACGTCGGCACTTGATAAAACATCTTAAGTGAGACGTCTCTGGTCCTGGAAGAACCATCTTCTGTAGCGTTTTATCTGACAGATTTGAAAAGGCAGATCAGGTCTCACTCACTGTGGTTTGATGTTAGCAGGATCATCACTAGCAGCACACATCCATTCAGGTGGATTGGTAACAAGTGACTCAAACATCCTGGCGGTAATCTAGAAATTGTGCATATTCAAACATTCAGTTGTCATGCTGTCACCCTTCGCATGTATCAAATGTCTACACACAACAAATTGTGCAAGAGGTTGGGGTTAAGCAAGACAAAGGCAATGTGAATCAAAATAATTTGCATAAAAGAGGCGTCGTGGCTAGTGACTTTTCGGTAACAAGGAAGAGGATGCACAAACCCGAAATGTCCAGTCGCACGTCTTAAAATCATTTTTCTAGACATGATTTTTTGTGAATTCAAAATGAATGACTTTTTTTCTCAACACCATGGCAGCAGAGAAAGTCCAGCGAGTGTTCAGGTTCTGGTAACAGGGGCAAGTCAAGCTCAGTGTCTCTTTCAGATAGAGGGAAGCAGAGGCTGATCCTCTCTAACCCAGCTGGTCCTCGTACTGCTTCCTGAAGCAGTCTCCAGTCGGGAAGAAGTCCCAGCATCTCTCCTGGTACATCTTCCACACATAGGACTCCTGGAGAGGGGGGGGGGAAACAGGAGCAGAGCTGATGGTGTGGACGGGTTCATAAAGGGGCTCAATATCAGTTCAAGTCAGTTAACCCTTATGTTGTGTTCGGGTGACCCGTTTCAAGTTAAAATGATATAATAACTACGCTCTAGTTTTTGTATCGGAACAAGGCTTCATGATATCACAGCTACATAAACACTACAAAACTGATTTTGACCATTTTTGCCAAGTCTGAAGGTCTCAAAAAAAATAAGTATAATTTGGTGTTGGGGTCTGGGGAGACACGGAAGAATTGTTTTGGGTGACACCCCTCCCCCTTCATCCACTGTAACAATAATTGTTCGCAACATGCACCTGGTCTCCCCTCCCCCCACGGAAACTCCACCTTTCACAAAGAATATGTGCACTAACACTTGAACGTGTGCAATATGTGGCGTAATGTGTTTTGGGGCCATAACATTAAATTACAACAGGATTGTGCGGTTATGAATGCATTATAAGTTAGTTATGATGTAGTTAAAACAATATTGGATGATAGTCTTTTTCTTTGTGTGTTTTGGACTGAGGTAAATCATGGGTCAAAATCATAGACTGTATATAAAGGTCAAAATGTACCCGCGGACACCATGAACGGTAACAGCTTTCGAACACAACACAAGGGTTAAAGAAAGCAGGGTACGTAATAAAACATTTATATTGATGTATATTCTGAACAACCAATTAAAGTCATAGTAAAGCATATAAGAAACATTGATGTATAATATGTAGTATAGAGTGTCTAAAAAAACTTCATAGTATGTCGAAATACATCTTCATATAATAATGTATAAAACAATCTGAAAAAATGTCATGGTATAGTACGTCATACAAATATGTAGAATTGTTTATTAAATAGTGAAGTCTTTAAAATGTCATAACAATCTCATATTTGACAGAAGATATGAACAAGCCAAGTATAGTATTGCATAAATCATCAAATGTATATTACAGTATGTCATAAGAAATATTAAAGTCAATCAAGTCAGAAATCTAATATGTCATATCAATGTTGATGAAATGGCAGAGCTTATAGCTTTTTAAAGTTATTAAATGTCGTTTTATAATGAGGCATAACAAAAATCATAGTATGAAATATTTGTTATTAATAATAATGGAAACCTGTTTTACAAAAGCAATTAGTGAGGACTGCTTTCACAAAGACCCTGACCACATGTATCAGTCTTATAGGACTGCTTTCACAAAGACCCTGACCACATGTATCAGTCTTATAGGACTGCTTTCACAAAGACCCTGACCACATGTATCAGTCTTATAGGACTGCTTTCACAAAGACCCTGACCACATGTATCAGTCTTATAGGACTGCTTTCACAAAGACCCTGACCACATGTATCAGTCTTATAGGACTGCTTTCACAAAGACCCTGACCACATGTATGAGTCTTATAGGACTGCTTTCACAAAGACCCTGACCACATGTATCAGTCTTATAGGACTGCTTTCACAAAGACCCTGACCACATGTATCAGTCCTATAGGACTGCTTTCACAAAGACCCTGACCACATGTATGAGTCCTATAGGACTGCTTTCACAAAGACCCTGACCACATGTATCAGTCCTATAGGACTGCTTTCACAAAGACCCTGACCACATGTATCAGTCTTATAGGACTGCTTTCACAAAGACCCTGACCACATGTATGAGTCTTATAGGACTGCTTTCACAAAGACCCTGACCACATGTATGAGTCTTATAGGACTGCTTTCACAAAGACCCTGACCACATGTATGAGTCTTATAGGACTGCTTTCACAAAGACCCTGACCACATGTATGAGTCTTATAGGACTGCTTTCACAAAGACCCTGACCACATGTATGAGTCTTATAGGACTGCTTTCACAAAGACCCTGACCACATGTATCAGTCTTATAGGACTGCTTTCACAAAGACCCTGACCACATGTATGAGTCTTATAGGACTGCTTTCACAAAGACCCTGACCACATGTATCAGTCTTATAGGACTGCTTTCACAAAGACCCTGACCACATGTATCAGTCATATAGGACTGCTTTCACAAAGACCCTGACCACATGTATGAGTCTTATAGGACTGCTTTCACAAAGACCCTGACCACATGTATCAGTCTTATAGGACTGCTTTCACAAAGACCCTGACCACATGTATCAGTCTTATAGGACTGCTTTCACAAAGACCCTGACCACATGTATCAGTCTTATAGGACTGCTTTCACAAAGACCCTGACCACATGTATGAGTCGTATAGGACTGCTTTCACAAAGACCCTGACCACATGTATCAGTCTTATAGGACTGCTTTCACAAAGACCCTGACCACATGTATGAGTCTTATAGGACTGCTTTCACAAAGACCCTGACCACATGTATCAGTCTTATAGGACTGCTTTCACAAAGACCCTGACCACATGTATCAGTCTTATAGGACTGCTTTCACAAAGACCCTGACCACATGTATGAGTCTTATAGGATTGCTTTCACAAAGACCCTGACCACATGTATCAGTCTTATAGGACTGCTTTCACAAAGACCCTGACCACATGTATCAGTCTTATAGGACTGCTTTCACAAAGACCCTGACCACATGTATCAGTCATATAGGACTGCTTTCACAAAGACCCTGACCACATGTATCAGTCTTATAGGACTGCTTTCACAAAGACCCTGACCACATGTATGAGTCTTATAGGACTGCTTTCACAAAGACCCTGACCACATGTATCAGTCTTATAGGACTGCTTTCACAAAGACCCTGACCACATGTATCAGTCATATAGGACTGCTTTCACAAAGACCCTGACCACATGTATGAGTCTTATAGGACTGCTTTCACAAAGACCCTGACCACATGTATCAGTCTTATAGGACTGCTTTCACAAAGACCCTGACCACATGTATCAGTCTTATAGGACTGCTTTCACAAAGACCCTGACCACATGTATCAGTCTTATAGGACTGCTTTCACAAAGACCCTGACCACATGTATGAGTCGTATAGGACTGCTTTCACAAAGACCCTGACCACATGTATCAGTCTTATAGGACTGCTTTCACAAAGACCCTGACCACATGTATGAGTCTTATAGGACTGCTTTCACAAAGACCCTGACCACATGTATCAGTCTTATAGGACTGCTTTCACAAAGACCCTGACCACATGTATCAGTCTTATAGGACTGCTTTCACAAAGACCCTGACCACATGTATGAGTCTTATAGGATTGCTTTCACAAAGACCCTGACCACATGTATCAGTCTTATAGGACTGCTTTCACAAAGACCCTGACCACATGTATCAGTCTTATAGGACTGCTTTCACAAAGACCCTGACCACATGTATCAGTCATATAGGACTGCTTTCACAAAGACCCTGACCACATGTATCAGTCTTATAGGACTGCTTTCACAAAGACCCTGACCACATGTATCAGTCTTATAGGACTGCTTTCACAAAGACCCTGACCACATGTATCAGTCTTATAGGACTGCTTTCACAAAGACCCTGACCACATGTATGAGTCTTATAGGACTGCTTTCACAAAGACCCTGACCACATGTATGAGTCTTATAGGACTGCTTTCACAAAGACCCTGACCACATGTATGAGTCTTATAGGACTGCTTTCACAAAGACCCTGACCACATGTATCAGTCTTATAGGACTGCTTTCACAAAGACCCTGACCACATGTATGAGTCTTATAGGACTGCTTTCACAAAGACCCTGACCACATGTATCAGTCATATAGGACTGCTTTCACAAAGACCCTGACCACATGTATCAGTCTTATAGGACTGCTTTCACAAAGACCCTGACCACATGTATGAGTCGTATAGGACTGCTTTCACAAAGACCCTGACCACATGTATCAGTCTTATAGGACTGCTTTCACAAAGACCCTGACCACATGTATGAGTCTTATAGGACTGCTTTCACAAAGACCCTGACCACATGTATCAGTCTTATAGGACTGCTTTCACAAAGACCCTGACCACATGTATGAGTCTTATAGGATTGCTTTCACAAAGACCCTGACCACATGTATCAGTCTTATAGGACTGCTTTCACAAAGACCCTGACCACATGTATGAGTCTTATAGGACTGCTTTCACAAAGACCCTGACCACATGTATCAGTCTTATAGGACTGCTTTCACAAAGACCCTGACCACATGTATCAGTCTTATAGGACTGCTTTCACAAAGACCCTGACCACATGTATGAGTCATATAGGACTGCTTTCACAAAGACCCTGACCACATGTATGAGTCATATAGGACTGCTTTCACAAAGACCCTGACCACATGTATCAGTCTTATAGGACTGCTTTCACAAAGACCCTGACCACATGTATCAGTCTTATAGGACTGCTTTCACAAAGACCCTGACCACATGTATGATTCATATAGGACTGCTTTCACAAAGACCCTGACCACATGTATGAGTCATATAGGACTGCTTTCACAAAGACCCTGACCACATGTATGATTCATATAGGACTGCTTTCACAAAGACCCTGACCACATGTATGAGTCATATAGGACTGCTTTCACAAAGACCCTGACCACATGTATCAGTCTTATAGGACTGCTTTCACAAAGACCCTGACCACATGTATGAGTCATATAGGACTGCTTTCACAAAGACCCTGACCACATGTATGAGTCTTATAGGACTGCTTTCACAAAGACCCTGACCACATGTATCAGTCTTATAGGACTGCTTTCACAAAGACCCTGACCACATGTATGAGTCTTATAGGACTGCTTTCACAAAGACCCTGACCACATGTATCAGTCTTATAGGACTGCTTTCACAAAGACCCTGACCACATGTATGAGTCATATAGGACTGCTTTCACAAAGACCCTGACCACATGTATGAGTCTTATAGGACTGCTTTCACAAAGACCCTGACCACATGTATCAGTCTTATAGGACTGCTTTCACAAAGACCCTGACCACATGTATCAGTCTTATAGGACTGCTTTCACAAAGACCCTGACCACATGTATGAGTCTTATAGGACTGATTTCACAAAGACCCTGACCACATGTATCAGTCTTATAGGGCTCTTGCCTTAGTTTTAATAAGTGAAACATGTGGAATGAGAAACAGGAAATCACAGCTAGCTGGTTTGAAAGGATACATACTGTAACACTGAGATAGATACCGCAGGTCATGAAGCATCAGGAATCATTTGGATTGAGACCTAAATCGATCTTATTTTCTGCAGAATCACTAAAAACGTAATCATGTTTCCAACGTGATTTTCTTTAGAAGCAGCTGAATGTGTTCTCTGCATGGAGGAGCTGCACAAAGTGAGTTGTATGTTCCTACTGCTGGATGTGTGACATAAGAACAGAGCATGCACCTCAAATAAAAACAACTTCAGTCTCAGGTGCACGACAACAACAACAACAACAACTTAATATCCCACACATCTTCCTCCTGCTAAACTTATGCAACATAACAAGTGGGATGAAATGTTGCACAAGTGAAACCTGCTGAAGTTTCTGGAACTTTCCTATGCCGTCTTAATATTGATCGGATATCTCACAAGTGAAATAATGAATAAATAGTGAGTAAGTGTTCACGTACCTGACCCGTGTGCTCAGTCTCATCCTTGTTGATCAGGTACATGAGGAAGAACCTGCACACAGGAGGGAAATGTGAGGAATGTCCGCATTGTAAACAGAAATGTGTTTTAACTTTGCTTCGCTGCTGCACTCACAGGTAGTTCGCGAGGTTGTGTTCTTGTAAGGTGTGGGTCTCGAACCCGTGAGGCGTCCGGTCAAAGTAATCGTTCCCGATGCCACAGATGAAGCACTTAGTCTGGAGGAAGAAGGGGAGATTTGTACTTAAATCCCCCGCTGTACTAAGGTCCATTTCACATGTAGTTTTGTTCCTTTGGTATAAAGATATCTGACGGTGCTGACTTGTACCAGAGGGTCTTTTTGGAGATGTTAGCGTTGAAAGGGGGAGACAGAGGGGAGGGTATTGCCGGACATTGCTGGCTTTTTAAACACAAATCAAATGAACGGACTGACAGAAAAAACATTCTTCATGTGTTCCTTGTTCATTCCTTTTCTCTGGTGTCACATAGACACAGACACACATCTTAACACAGCTGATTGTCAGCATTTTTAGACAGGACTGTACCTCTAACTCAGGGGTTCTCAAAGTGCGGCCCGCGGGCCAATAGCGGCCCTCGGAAATGTTTCTGGCGGCCCGCGATAGTTAATGTGACACGCTGAAATGCATGCGTTATATTTTAATCCTCCATGGTTGTATCTAGTAAGAATTAGAATGGGATTTAAGAATGGTAAAACTGCGCCCCCTGGGTTGTCATTCCTAAATTATGAATGACAGCTTGTGGAAAGTTTGCTCAACTACTGGTTGCATGGCAACTAGGCATCTCGCGAGTTGCGGTAATTGGTTAGTACAATAAAGAAAGGATTTGTTTTGGAATTATTTTGTGTTCCGTTTTTTTCTTGGGCAGCCCTCAATCCAATATTGGCTACCTAAATTGGCCCTCACTCATCAAAACTTTGAGAACCCCTGATCTAACTGAACTATGGCACACAGGTACAATGATTGTACTGGAGGAGAAGATAGTTAACAGTGTCACTTGTTTCACTCAAGTATAAATGAGGACCACAAACACATCATCTGTGTGACTGATGTTAAAATCCCTATACTCACAAACCCAAATTACTACTTGAATTCATGTGTAATCACATATCTACTATATTCAACATGTAAATTAGACGACAAACAAACTGCATCAGGGACAGCAAACTAACATCGGGGCTGGTTGTTGAGTTTGCAATGTAGTTTGACTTTGGCCACAATAATCATTTAGTGAACATGTTTTACTCTTATCTCGACGACCATAGGATGAAAGCACCCTCAGGATCTTTTAGTATGTTCCTCCACATCTATGCAGCTGTCTATAAACGACATGAAAGGAGGCGTGTTGGGTCTGAAATGTTCCCCAGTTTGAGTCCAGTCTCACCTCCATGTCCTCCTTCACCTGCTCCTGCTGGTCTCTCAGCTCTCCAAAGGCATCAATGATCAAACCTGTGGGGGGGGGGGGGGGGGGGGACAGTTGGTCATAGTACAAACAGAACTCTTCTGATGACACATTTAAAGGTCACCTATTATGCAAAATCCACTTCTCCATGTCTTTTCTACATCAACATGTGTCCCCTCTTCTTCATGTCTCTTCTACATCAACATGTGTCCCCTCTTCTTCATGTCTCTTCTACATCAACATGTGTCCCCTCTTCTTCATGTCTCTTCTACATCAACATGTGTCCCCTCTTCTTCATGTCTCTTCTACATCAACATGTGTCCCCTCTGTGGAAAGAGATTCTGAAAGTTTCAGGAACAAAGATTCTCTCTCTTTTTGTCCTGATCCATTTCTATAAAAACCTGTCTGAAAATGAGCTGATCAGATTTTGGCCACTTTGTGATGTCATAACGATGTTTTGGCTTGTGTAACCATTAGCCAATCATTAGCCAATCACCAACCAATGTTTTGTATATATCTGAGACCTATAATATATTGAGGAAAAACAGTGTAATAGGGGACCTATGTGTGTACCCTGAATGATGGCGAGCAGGATGACGATGACGAAGAAGAAGAAGGTGATGTCGAACATGATGCGGTAAAGCTCGTAGGGGTCTCCAGCTGGGTCCTCCAACTCGTCGCCGATACCGCCTCCAGCTCTCACACCCACGTACATGTGGAACAAGTAGCACTGCAGAGGGAACACAGGAGAGAAGCTAAGAGATAAGATCACAGCTGTGTCCTGTTGTGTTGGCTACAGAGGGACAAGGACACATTATTATTCAGTGCACTATGAGGCTGTGATTTAAGTGCAACGCTAAAGATGTGGCGTCTTCTATCGCTACCCAGGAACAATGCTGAGAGATTAATGGGTGGATTCAATCTACATATATGAACATTTGACACATTATTTCAGATTGCAAACAATTTACACATGCAATTAGTGAGAAATTATTCAGGACCCAAAAGTGTGACTGAGCATCTGAGACACTGGGGCCGTTTCTCAATCTCGAAGATTCTGGCTTCCAGGGTCGGCGTCATGGGGGGTCATTCGCTGGCCATCCCCCCCCAAATGAGTCACTGTGCCCCCCCCCAACGCAGGGTGGGCAAGCCTAGCCACTTTGCCGTTTTTTTATTTTTTTTTTAAGTGAAAACGTTTTGTGTGAAATACGTCAGAAATAAAGAATACAAATATAAAACACAGCCTGAGGTGTGCTCACTGCTGCTCTCTGATTGGTGTGTTGCTTGACCAATGACCACGACCTTTGTTTTGTTATCATTACGTGGCTGTGTGTTTAGATGAAAGCCCAGTGGCGATCTGTTCATCTGTTATACTGATTATACAGTAAAGCCATCGAAAATAATACAATATACAGTACAGTACAAGTAGCCTACTTCTGGGTCTCTGTGTTTCATTCAAGCTCGGCTCTGTGTGTGTGTGTGTGTGTGTGTGTGTGGCACGAGCGCATTTTGTGAGTGCGCGAGCGGTAACGTGGAATGTTGTTGTTAGCATCTGGTTAGCTAGCTATGCTAACGGATATAAAGAGCTGTTTCTACACCAAGGTGGAGGAGAGTCCTCTCCTGTCAGACTGAGAGGATCTTATAACGTCAGCTCAGTGAGGTAAGGACTCTCTCAGTGTTTAGATAGTTCACTTTAGTGTAGGTTATCTCAGTGGGTCTCAAACGGTTTGGTCACCATTTATGTAAACAAGTATTTGCGAGGAATACCTTTATATGATCATTATAGTTATTAAAGAATAAGAGAATACATGAAAAACGGGTATGAAATACTATAGGACAGTAACACAAGAATACAGTTTAAAAGGAGAGTGATTAGTAAAATATCCATAAAGAAAAAGTAAATCTGTGTACAGTTCTGTTTCATATGGATGCTGAGAGATGTATCCATAGATCTCTTCATTTTGCTCTCAAAGTGCACCAGATTGATGCATTTAACTTCAATATTTTAAAAATAATCTTCCCGGGGGAGCATGCCCCAGACCCTCCTAGAGGAGGTTAGGTCCACCCTCACCTAAAACATGTTCACATGGATAGGATACTAAATACATTTGCACACTTTTTGTATGGTGGCCTATGTCCATATGTTTCTGTTTTGGTGGTCGTGCCACAACCGTGCATGTATGCACAAGTCATAGGTGCGCTATACAATAGCACTACACCCTGCAATGTGTGTGAAAAACAATAGACTTTACAGCATGTTTTTTGAAGTTGCGTTGGTGTTTGTGTATTGGTTGTTGACGGCAGTGTGTGCCCCCCCTTGGTAAATGATTACCCCCCATTCGATTTATTCTAGAGCCGACCCTGCTGGCTTCCAAGCCAATATTTCAAGGATGCTACGTCATCGAGTGCCGCCGAAGTACTGTTCCAATGTCCAGCGTACTTGGAATTCCACCGAGACCGCATCCTTGGTTTGGGGGAAATTTCGAGGCTGCACATGGGTAGACTTCGCGTCCTTAAAATCCCCACAATGCTTTGCGCACGAACCAATTTCAAAAACCCTTGCGAAGAATGGCTGAACCGACGCAGCACACATTTAAATGTAAGTATGTAGTGGCGTAGAACATGTGTTGGTATATGTTACTTTGTTGCATTTGTTTGTTATCACCAAAAATGTGTTCCGTGAAAGTAAAGCAAGTTCATAATTAGATAGACATCGTGAGGTATTTATTTTCGGTACAGTTTGTTGAAACCGTTAGAGAGAGTGGCACACTTGTTAGCCTGTTCCATTCTTCTTCGTTTTCCGAAGCCGTGGCTTGGAAGCATACTTGCTTCGTTTCTGAAGGAAGTGACTTGGAAGTACGCGACTACCAAGCCAGCATCCTCGAGATTGAGAAACGGCCTGGGTGTTTCTCAATCTCGAGGACGCTTCTTTGGTAGGACATGTCTTCCGAGTCACTTCCTTCAGAAGCGAGGCAAGAATCCTTCCTAGCCTCGGAAAACAAAGAATTGTGGAACAGGCTAACAGGTGTTCGTCATATGTGAGGTCCCGCCTTAAATGGAGCGCGATTTCTGCCAAAGATTTGGAAATTGGTCCGTGCGCAAAGCATTGTGGGGATTTTAAGACCGCGGAGGATACACATGTGCAGCCTCGACATTTCTCGCTCCGAAGGACGCCGGGCTCGGTAGAATTCCAAGGAGTCTGGACATTGGAACAGTCCTTCGGCGGCACTCGATGACGTAGCATCCTTGAAATAGTGGCTCTGGAGTATCCTTCCTCGACATTGAGAAACACCCATAGTATACATGTATTTTTTTCTCTATTATAGAAGAATGTTTGGTCGTCTGTTGTCTTATATAATAATAAATAAGTAAATAAAATCAATTCACAATATATCAAAATCATCAAAAAAACGTTCCTAGAAAAAAGTTTTCAAAATAAAATAAATAAAATATTGAGAAAATGTAATTTCAAACATCTTGAGACCCCGTGAGCTGCTCGATCAGAAGGAGAACATTCATCAAAAGAACCAGTAAATAGTTTGATGTTTTTTTAAGTAAGAAGTGAAAGAAAAAATCCTTTACAAAGTTCACTAATGAAACATATTTTCTACTCAGTCTGGTAGAAAACAAAGTCCAATTTCCAGAATCAAAGCCTCAGGAATCTCAACATCTTCAAAGTCATTTCCTATGTTCACTATTCTTTCCTAAATGAACATAAATATATATATCTGAGGCAGCAAGGCATACCGTCAACATGTCGTCACACTTCATGTCGGGCTCGTCCTCATCCCCCCCGTTGTAGAACTTCCTGAAGAAGTTGAAGGCCACCACGGTGTAGAGATAGACGACCACGGCCAGCAGACCCACAGTCAGCATAAGCTGGAAGAGAGAGAACTCTTTCAAATACAAAATGACAAACGTTGACATTTAATTTCACCTTTTGTTCCCATTGACAGTTTGAGCAGAGATTTGAGGAGGCAGAAGGTTGTTATCTTTGAGAGGTGAACCAACATGTCAATGTCAGAGCAGATTCATTCAAAAGGAACTCAAAAGACCTGCAATATTTTCAAGGTCTTCACCGCTGAATTGAGTATTTCTAGGCGGCTTTCATCAATATTCAAAGACTTTGGAGACATTCTGCAATCACGTTCACACCTTTAAAAAACATCTTCATATCCCAATGATGATCTACAAGTGACACGACCGGCAGTGGCTCAATCAGTAGGGGGCTTGGACTGTGAGCCGTAGGGTCGCCGGTTCAAGTCCCCGACCAGACCTAAAAATGTGGAGTGTGGACTGCTACTTGGAGAGGTCCCAGTTCACCTCCTGCCCTGCCGTGGTGCCATTGAGCAAGGCACCGGACAACCCCCCACTCCATTTGCTCCCCGGGCGCTGCCCACTACTCCTAGTACTAGTCTCTTGGTACTAGGATGGGTTAAATGCAGAGAACACATTTCACTGTGTGTGCTCTGCATGTGTGACCATTAAAGAGGGGTTTCATCTAATACAACTTTTCATTCATTATTATTAAAATCTTTGACTTTGTTTGTTCTGATGAACTGGGAAAGAAAGTACCTACAGCATATTCATGATGGGCTTGACTATAAACTTCACATAAAATACGTGCTCTTTACAACCCAATGTGATTTGATGTGATGAAGTTTAGATGACTCCCATTAGCGGGAATACATCTAAATGACTCTTGGGGAAGTTATGGCACTTCCCCTCAAGGCAATGTCATCTTTTCCTCAATAATTAATTTATATTTAATTCCATTAATGTATTTCTCATGATGTTAATTTCTAGACATCCTGAGACTGAGTCATAACATCTCTATCTCAAAGCCCCTCCTTTTTCCAGGAGATAATTATTTCATTTGATCATATTAGGGTTTAATATGAATCACGCTGCTAGTGGTTTTGTCCCATATTATCTATCATAGCCACACACACACACACACACACACACACACACACACACACACACACACACACACACACACACACACACACACACACACACACACACACACACACCACACACACACACACACACACACACACACACACACACACACACACACACACACACACACACACACACACACACACACACACACACACACACACACACACACACACACACACACACACACACACAATGTGCAATATATAAATGCCGTTAATAACTGTGTAATATAAACCTGGCTGCTAAATCATTAGAACTGTTACAAGGTGTGCATTTTTTTAAATGATGTAATTTTTTATTATATTTTTAATTATATCATAACTTATTACTTTTTTTTATTGCATGTCACATATTTAACATATGTAACATTAAGCTGTCTGTGGCTCTACTACGCACATTTCTCCTCCGTGGGACTAATAAAGGTATTCTGATTCATGCAGATCTCTATGTAAGATGAGTCCTTATAAAGATCAGATGGCAGCAGAATATCTCTTTACATTCTTCAAGACGTGAAATTAAAACCCTGTAATAACTCCTTTATTTCACGGTGATGTAATTCTAAGCAAAAAGGGAAAAGGAGGTTGTAAGGACAGGCTGCTCTGCCACAGAGTATGGCGGTCACTGTTCTTCTCTGTGCTCTGGCTCCCTCTGCTGGCTGAACTCTGTACCTGCTTGCCGTTGTGAGTGACGGACGACAGGATGGTTTGGAGCGACTTGAAGACCATGGCGATGTCCAGAAGATGGGCAGCGAAGAAGAAGTTGTTGAAGTGTCCGAAAATGGACATGGTGGAGTACCAGATCAGATACAGGAAGTACTGAGGGAGAGGAAAGGATATTTATTAGTGACAAAGGTTCTAGAGGAATGTCTTTGCATATAATAAAAGCAAACTGCTGTCTTATGCCACCTTGCATATTACTTACACACATTGTGGATTTATGTGACAAATAACCAAATAAAACCTTTGACTATTTTAATAATCATGTTTTTAGCTGGGTGTCTGTTCTATCAGAGTATTCATTCATTGTAATGTCACATTCGTAAGGTAAATACTATTTAGGCTATTACAGAATCAAATGTAATAAGCAAAATCCTAATGAAAAGTAAGATATTTTGTATTTCTTTTACTTTATTTTCCCTCACAGTGCTGTGAATAAAAAGTGCTTTGATAACACGTTGAATAAACTTACATTGTCAGTCAGAACCACTCCCATCTTCCAGATGTGGTACTTTGTATCGATGGAGCTCAGCCTGCAAACGGGAGAACACAATAAGATCAAATGTACTTTATTGATCCCAAATTAGGGAAGAAATGTGTTGCAGCAGCATCAAAAACAAGGCACATAAGTAGACATTGAAAGATTGGAAATAAACTATTCTAAAATTGAAACATCTCAAAATAGAAATAAAACAGCATTAAAAAGTAGAAAATATACAAGTTGACCGTGAAGATAGAACATCTATGAATCACAGAAGTGTCATACCGAAATGCAACACAGATGAGGAGATACTGGACTAGATATATTTAACATGGGGTTTAACATTTTTACTTGAATTCAGTAGAAAGTACAGTTTTTTTATGGGATAACCTCAGGAAATACTCAAACTCTCAGGCGTAACTTAAAGCCCTTTGAGTATAATTTTAGCAATCCCTTAACCCTTATGTTGTGTTCGGGTCTCCCGTGAACCGTTTCAAGTTCAAATGATATAATAACTACGCTCTAGTTCTTTTTATCGGAACAAGGCTTCATGATATCCTCCACAACAGCTATATAAACACTACAAACAGATTTTGACCATTTTTGCCACGTCTGAAGGTCTCTAAAAAAGAAAGCGTATAATTTGGTGTTCGGGTCTGGGGAGACCCAGCAGAATTGTTTTGGGTCACTCGAGGTCAAATTTGGCCCAATCAAGATTCATCTTTGACTTTAGACACCTCCCCCACCCCCTTCGCAACATGCACCTGGTCTCCCCTCCCCCTCCCCCCACGGGAACTCGACCTTTCTCAAAGAATATGTACACTAACACTTGAACCTGAACACACACATGCACGTGTGCAATATGTGGTGTAATGTGTTTTGGGGCCATAGAATACAATTACAACAGGATTGTGCGGTTATGAATGCATTATAAGTTAGTTATGATGTAGTTAGAACAATATTGGATGATAGTCATTTTTTGTGTGTGTTTTGGACTGAAATAAATGATGGGTCAAAATTGACCAGCGAACACCATGAACGGTAACAGCTTGAACAACACAAGGGTTAATAAAGTGTAAAAAACTGCTGGTTACAGTGAGTATGAATAGATAAAACAAGGGTTCACATCTCACCAGGAGAGCAGGGAGGCTTCATTCTCTACTGTCTCCACAGTGGGGTCAAAGTCCAGAGCGCTCTTATCCAGGCCCAACAGCTCAGCGATGCGCTCGGCTCCGTACATGTCTCCATATTTATTGATCACCTACAAATAAAGGACGGCAAAAAGAGACTCGGTCACAACACAAAGAAAAGTCTGATTAAGAAAGAACGCAGCAAACACAGGATGTTAAAGGGTCTGCCTGCAAGATAACACAGGGTCACATATTATTAGAATTTCACTGCTAATTACCTCAGAAGGTACGATTTTACCCTCACCTATCATACTAACAACTACTGAAAACTGTATTAGGCAGTGTCCATAATAGGATATTTGGTTTAAAAACCATGACATGTCTCACTGGGAATTTAGGTTGACAAGTACATTATGACTACATGTTTAGTTATGTTATTATTCTGTGTAATAAATCTAGTTACTTCTAACACTCACCTTGCGCTTGATGAACTTGTCCCAGTAGTTGCTGGGGAAAGACCTGTTAAAGAAAGTAGAAGTAAGAATCAGCGGTGGTAACTTACACTCTCTCTGTAAAATAATTACTTTAATTAAATTATTCTCTCTAGTTGTTTTCTGGAATTTGTCATGCTGATCGACATTAATCAAAATGTCCTTGCATTATGGGCATAGATATGTCTCATAATTATTTGTGTGAACATAAAAATAATTTGTGTGTAAATATGTGATTTGTAAATGTAAAACAACATCCACAAATGCATTTAAAAGATTTGCAAACTCACAAATACATTTGCAAGTGTAAAACGGATCTGCAAATACGCTAAATATGTTCACAAATAAAAAAAGATCTGTGAATATCTCTTTAACATTTACACCTTTCGATCAGGCATTTGTGAATCCATTTTGTATTTGTGGACCAAAAATGCGCTTGCGGATCTCAAATCTCTGTTCACGGATCTCAAATCTCTGTTCACGGATCGTCTTTTTACACACACGGAATTTTGAGACATATTTTCCGCCGGTCTCGGCTAAAATCTACTCGTGCCACTCGGTTATTTTCGGAAACCACGTGATGGCCTGCTGATGACGACATTTCCGCATGATTTCAAAGTAAGAGCATGATGGTTTGTTTAATGCTCTGTTTTTGTATTATAATGAACAGGGGAACGTTGGATGTATTCTTCATCACCATAACCCTGACCTAAATACGGTGCTTTTCTACAGATTACTTTATTACTGCACTGGTAAGGTAAAATTAGGCCGATTAATAAGATGTGAAGTGCTTTGTAACTTCGACCCGCTTGACTGAATACACAACAAACAATGAAGAAAGAGTTTTATATGGGCTGCTTCGCTGCCAGCTGCTCCCCCCGGGACCCGAAAGTGGCGTATAGCCTGCACTTCAACATCAACGAAAGTGCTCGATATGCTATATTGAACCAATAACACAAACTAACTGTATCACTATAACATGATGGTGATGAAGAATGCATCTAACGTTCCGCTGTTCATTATAATACAAAAACAGAGCATTAAACAAACCATCATGCTCTTACTTTGAAATCATACGGAAATGTCGTCATCAGCGGGCCATCATGTGGTTTCCGAAAATAACCGAGTGACACGAGTAGATTTTAGCCGAGACCGGCGGAAAATATGTCTCAAAATTCCGTGTGTGTAAAAAGACGATCCGCGAACAGAGATTTGAGATCCGTGAACAGAGATTTGAGATCCGCAAGCGCATTTTTGGTCCACAAATACAAAATGGATTCACAAATGCCTGATCGAAAGGTGTAAATGTTAAAGAGATATTCACAGATCTTTTTTTTATTTGTGAACATATTTAGCGTATTTGCAGATCCGTTTTACACTTGCAAATGTATTCGTGAGTTTGCAAATCTTTTAAATGCATTTGTGGATGTTGTTTTACATTTACAAATCACATATTTACACACAAATTATGTTTATGTTCACACAAATAATTATGAGACATATCTATGCCCATATTGCATGCTCATATATTATGTAAATATACTGTATGGAGCTAGCAGAGGATGAGGATAATTGAATACTGACGAACCTCATAATATGATTATTTGAGTTCAGACTATGTACCATGAAACTGCCTTGAATTGAACCAAAGGAGCTGGAAATGTTATTCAATTTTGAAATGTATGTAGGATGTGTCTTTGTATGAATATATATATTTATATATCGTATTTTCCTTTTCAAAAAAGACAGTTGAAACTGAAATTGACATGTGCAGAAAATGACCCTATATCTAGTTTTCATTTATATATACACATATGCATTTATTTTTTTCTTCCCCCAAGTTTCATTTTTAGTTTTCTTCTCCAGTTTTCTTTATTTCTTTGCACTCCTTAATTTCTATACATTTTTGACGCAATACTCCCAACGTTGTATTAGGATGATTCACGGGAGGGCTACTTCCCATAAGCTATGCTTCAGCCCTAAACATAATTCATACACACAAAGATGAACAAAATTAGTAGAAGCGGTTCTACTAATTTTGTTCATCTTTGTGTGTATGAATTATGTTTTTTTTGTTTTTTGGATGAATTAGTAGATTAAAAAAAAGGGTAGTATGTTTTATGCACCTCAGTGTAATTTGAGCTTGAGAAGTGCACTTCTGTATGTTTGGAACTATACACCGTATACATGTGTTTTATTGTATAAAATATAAAAAAAATACAGATTACTTTTAGTGTAATCGCTTCTTGGGATTGGACGGTGTGAATCAGGACGGTGACTCACGGGGTGTTGATGACAAGTCGATCCCACTGGCCCTTGATGTCCTCGTCGGACGGCTGCTCGGTGATGTAGAGACCGTCGAATTCAAGCTTCCTCGCAATCTCCTTCTCCCTCTTGAACACCACCAGAGGAACCTACGGGCAAACATAATAAGATGGGCGATTAACACTTTACCTTACACAATGGCAAGCAATTCGCCCGGTGATATGGGGAAAAACATCAAGAGTAAACCCACCTTGAGGAAGCAGTACCCGAAGAGACAGACGAGTGAGATGACGGTGTGGAAAACAGCGAGGAAGCGCAGCGTGGGTAACATGTAGCCGGTGCTCTCCTGCAGGACAAACTCATCCATGTCGAAAAATGTGTCCGCGTTATTTTCATCGCCGTCCCAGGTGTCCTCCTCATCTGCCTCAGCTTCGCCAGTGACCTAAAGAGCAAAGAGAAGTTACCACAATACAATGAATAGTCCACAACTAGTATAGGGTCGCTGCAGAGAAAACTGTTTTAAAAAGAACGAGTTTCTGGGGTAGAGGTAAAAGTTCCAAGATAATTTATACTTTATAAATTAAGTAAAGTTATGAAAAGGAAAAAATTGAATTTTGCAAGTAAAAGGTTAAAAAACACAGTTACTGCCCCTGGAGATTATTGTCACCAGTGTCAAACTTAAAGGTAGGGTAAGTAAGAATGTAGAAACCAGCTCGAGTGTGCTAGAATTTGAAAGTACGCAGCTGGAAAGAATCTGCCCCTTCCTTCAGACTTCCTTACAGAGCCCCTCCTCCAACACACACGAACATGACCAATGAGGGCACGAGATAAGTTTGTGCACAGATGGAAGGCTGACAGGCAGGTAGGCCATCCAGTTACTTTAGCCGGGCCGGCTCAGATGATTGGTCGTGCTTTTTACAGTACTACGGCTTCCACAGATGACGTTTTTTTATGTATTTATTGTCAAAGCATTTAATTTATTCATTGCTATCGGGATGTTAAGAGCATTCCATGGAATATAACAAAAACTGTTTCTGAAGTGAATTACCTACCCCACCTTTAACTTATTTAAATCCTAAATGTACAGGAAAACATTTTGAAATACATTTGCAAAAGATTTGGAATTAAAAAAAAGTTTCAGCCCTTTATAAAAAATAATAATTATAAAGACATTTTGTTGTCCTATAGTTGACCTAGAATGCTTACTCGGACTGTGAGGGATCATCACATTGAATTGTTATTTGACTGGTGCTTTTTTCATTATCATCGTCTTTTAAATGCACAATAATAATAATAATAGATTTATTTTGTTAGCGCTTTTACAGGTGCTCAAAGACGCTTTACAGATATAATGAAAAGAAAAGAAATACAATACTTATTTTCCAATGATCTTGGAATTGATGCTCCGTTTAGAAACGTGACTTTCATTACCTTGTAGAAGAGAAGAATGAAGTTGATGGCGAAACACACAAACAGAGCCAGGAAACGCACGTTGTAGAAGTTACGAGCCAGCAAGTTCTGCAGGGGAGAGTTAGATTAAGACCAACTGTTGTGACCTTTATTATCGCCTTTCCACATTTTGAAGACGAGGGCTCACCAGCATCTTGGTGACGAAGATTTTCAGAAAAGCGAAGATGCTCAGCATGAAGGATGGAGACGCGTCTTTGGGGGGACTCGCTTTGGCTTTGGGCTTCTCCTCCGCCACCGGCTCCTTCACCTCCACTTCTTCCTTCTTTGGCTTGTCCTCCTTCTCCTGGTTCTCTGAGCTGTATTCAAAACAGTTGGTTTTATTGTGTAAGGGAATCAATTATTTTCCTCTCACTTAAGTCTACTCACTCTGCTTTCTCCGGTTCGTTCTCGGGGGCTTCAAAAGACTTAGCAGCAGCTTTCTGTAAGGGGAATAAAGTATTTTCATGAGCTGAGAGAAACTAAAGAACAGATATCTACAACTTTTAAAATCATAAATATATTCAACCAGAATCAGGATACTTCATTCATCTTGCGGGAAATTGGGATATGTGAAAGTTTTCTCCACATTCCTTATATAAAACATAAGAAGTTAAAGGTCCCATATTATACTGTTTTTCATCAATATTATAGGACTCAGATATATAGATATACATTGCAGCACTACCCATAATCCCCTCTGTTTCAGCCCTGTTTCCAAAGTGCTGATTCTCTGTCTGTTACTTTAGATGAAAATAAGGACACAATGGTGCTCTAGGAGGAGATTCAGGTGATAAGGTGGGGGGGGGGGGGGGGGATTGGCTAATGGTTACACAAGCCAAAACATCGTGATGACATCATAAAGTGGCCAAAATCTGATCAGCTCATTTTCAGACAGGTTTTTATAGAAATGGATCAGGACAAAAAGAGAGAGAATCTTTTTTCCTGAAACTTTCAGAGTCTCTTTCCACAGAGGGGACACATGTTGATGTAGAAGAGACATGAAGAAGAGGGGACACATGTTGATGTAGAAGAGACATGAAGAAGAGGGGACACATCTTGATGTAGAAGAGACATGAAGAAGAGGGGACACATGTTGATGTAGAAGAGACATGAAGAAGAGGGGACACGTGTTGATGTAGAAGAGACATGAAGAAGAGGGGACACATGTTGATGTAGAAGAGACATGAAGAAGAGGGGACACATGTTGATGTAGAAGAGACGTGAAGAAGAGGGGACACATGTTGATGTAGAAGAGACGTGAAGAAGAGGGGACACATGTTGATGTAGAAGAGACGTGAAGAAGAGGGGACACATGTTGATGTAGAAGAGACGTGAAGAAGAGGGGACACATGTTGATGTAGAAGAGACGTGAAGAAGAGGGGACACATGTTGATGTAGAAGAGACGTGAAGAAGAGGGGACACATGTTGATGTAGAAGAGACATGAAGAAGAGGGGACACATGTTGATATAGAAGAGACATGAAGAAGAGGGGACACATGTTGATGTAGAAGAGACATGGAGAAGTGGATTTTGCATAATAGGTGACCTTTAAAGTCAAAATGTACAAACCTTCTTGTGTTCAGAAGTGGAGATCTCTGCGCTCAGCTCAGAAAAGTCACCCAGGCCGAGCTCCACATGTTTCCCTCCTTCCTTCTTGGGAGCGGACAGCATCTCCAGCATGCTGTCCACTTCTGTTGTGTCTCCTGCAGGTGCCATGGCCGTCTCTAAACCTCCCGACGACTCTATGGCCTCCACTTTCTCTCCTTCAATCGCATCTCCGTGTATACCAAACTGGGTTGGGTCGGGCATGTTCCCGAGGATGTCCGTCACCTTTATGTTCTTAGCCCCCTCAACCAGGCCACCGCCAAACATGGAGGACCAGATGACGTGGAAGAACCCGAAGATGAGTCCGTAGATTCCCTTGAAGAAGCCGGTGAAGAGCATCCAGAAGAAGGAGAAGAAGCCGGTGATGATCTCCTTGATGCTCAGCTTCTTGATTTTCTTGAACTGCTTGGAGAAGTTTTTAATGGATAATGTTTGGCGCACGTTGGAGATCTTCCTCTTGACCGAGCGGCATGCGGTGGTGAAGGCTGAGGCAGACTCCAGGGCGCCCTCTTCCTCTCCACCCAGCTCGTCCAGGAGGCTGTGTGCATCGTCCTCTTCCTCCTCCTCCGGTTGTTCCACCACATCCGGCTCGGAGATCTGCGAGGCCAGCTGCATCTCAAAAATGGTGTCCTCACAGAAATTGACAAACATCTCCATCTTCTCGCTCTCCGTGCCCTCGTTGACCACGTCAAAGATGAACTGACGCTTGGACTCTTTGACCTGCGGCTTCTCCCACTGCTCGCGGCTCGACTCGCTGATCTCGAAGTAAACCCTCTCGATCCGCTTTGCGCTACCCATGATTTCAATACGACCCAGATAGGGCTCGAAGTAGGTGAGTACGCTCCCCGCCAGGTCTAAGAAGGTGGCGAGTCTGGAGTCGTGCGGCATGTGTTCCGACAGGTTGGTCAGCAGCACCGCCACGTTGAAGCCGATATCTTTGGCCGGCTCGTGGAAACGCTCCACAAAGTCAATGTAGTTGAACATGTCATTCTCGTCGGCCTCCGCGCACGAGAGCAGGAACTCAATCTCCGTCTGGCTGTACTGCATCTGGGACTCCATTGACTTCTGGAACTCCTTCTTTGAAATAATGCCCTTGAACTCAGGGTCGTTCTCTTTGAAGGTGTCAGAGGACGTCAGGTCCTTCAGTTTGAGGAACATGTCGAAGAACTTGAGTATCATCTCCACGTTACTGGAAGACTCCACCAGGGTGTCCACCATCTGCTTTCCAATCATTCCATTCACCACGTTACCTAATTTACACAAAGAAAATTATGTTCTGTAAAATACAATGCAGACTTTTACTAGAACTGTGAGTTGTTTTACAAATATTTTGAGATGTTCAATCAAAAGAGTTGAATTGTATTGTAATGTCTTTGTCAGCAGCTCCAGGCTCTTACCCTCTAGCAGAGACAGCAACATGACCACCATATCCTTCTGTAAATCCATCAGCTCCTTCAACAGCTCAGTCTGACTGGCGTCCTACAAGGAGATTATAGTTGTTCTGTTAAAGCTTTGTGCTGATGGAGTTTTCCCCAAACAAAACAAGGTTGTTCGGATCCTTAATATTTACCCTTCAGCAATGCATTATTAATGTTTTAGTGCTATAGGCTTTAACACCACCATGTTTGAAGTATACCATGGTTATTTAAAACAGTATAAACAAGGGATACATATTTCACTTTTAACACACATTGTGTTGTGGGTATTTATGCAATGAACTTTAGGACATTAGCATTGCATCCCTGCATGTTAAATGTTGTTATTATTTAAAACGAGATGCTTTACAAGTGGAATAATCCCAAGGTTTATTGTACCTGAGAAAGCTTCATTTGCATGTTGGCAAAAACATGCAAGAAGCCCACAACTGCGTCCCACAATCTGCTGTGAGCTAAACTCTGCTGGTTCCCAATACACGGGCCCTGAAGGAAAGAGGAGAGAAAATACACATCAGGAAATATTTGATGAAAGTAATTAATTCTTCACATTGTGGATTTAACAATGTTAAAACCTACCTGAATGTACTCAGTCAGTGAGTTGAATATCTGTTTGGCAACAGATAAAGCTTTGGAGAAGTTTAGTCTTCCAGTCTCATCCATGACATCTTTGCCAGAGTAGTACCAGTAGAAGTCACTGATCGATTCCTAAAAGCAAGATCACATTGATACACAATAAGTAAGTAATGGCAAGTACATATGTTGTGCCTTTAGATTTGTGTTTAACACACCTGAAGACGGAGCAGATAGTCAACGGTGCTGATGATGATGTTGACCGTGGTTGTGTTTCCAGTTTGCGTTCTCAGGAAATTCTGGAAATCTGACAGAAAGATACATTTTCTCATCCATGTCCCTCCCTATCTTTTGCATTACCATGCCCTTGTGGCTAATGCGAAATGTTGTTATTCAAACAAAAGGACGTTAAACATTTCAATGAAGAATTATATTAAACCTTACCTCCATTGTGGCCCTCACAAAGAAGTTGCAAAAACCGGAACAGATCTTTAGTAAACTCATCATTTTGTAGCACTTTGGAACCTTAGAGGGAAAAGACATCTTAGTGAATACAACGACCCCGTGCAAATGAACTAAGGTGATTATTTACTCAACATGGAGTCTGATACAGTTATCATTTAAACACCCCTTTGAAGCAATTAACATGAGGCAAGCAAGTCAGGTTTCATGTTGGATGTTCAGGGCCTTTAGATTGCAGGTTCAAAACTGAATCCAAAATGATTTTAATTGAAACAACAACAAAATGCTAGGACATTTCCATAAGCTGTAGGAAGCCTGACAACTTTCACATGTAGGCATGGATTGAGCCCTGATGGAGGGGGTCATTTCAAGAAATAAGCGGCGGACAAACACGGTTATATAACTCACTTAAAAAAAAAAAACCGGGTAATCCAGTTAAAATAGCTAAACGAAATGAGCACAAATACATTTCTGGAAGCAGATAAAACCATGTGAAAGTCAGACGTCTGTATGGAAACCAGCTTTGTGAAAAATCCAAAGCAAGACAAAGCTTTGCTTAGGTTGCGAAAGAGTCCACAGACCTTCAGTCAAACCTTTGAGAGGTGGCACCGATAGCCTTGGAACAACAGATTTGAGCATCAGTAATAGGATTTGCGTTAGTAAATGTTAACATGAAGGGAATGGGAACAAATAACAAACAAACAATGGATTGTTGAAGATCCACCGTGTGTTCACGCTGCATGCAGTTTGTCCCTACAGACATCTGGGTGGGGAGGCTGGGTACCAAATAAAGCAGGGGTATGGACCACAGACGAGACATTCAGAGTGGAAGCATAGCCATATCAGCATGATCTAGGTTTGCTATTTACCCCGCTGATTGTTGACTGCCGTCGATGTTTTTTTTTTTTTAAATGACAGGAAGGAGACAAACAATACACCAAGACATAATCAAAAAGAGAGGACATCCGAGTTACAATACAAAGAATTATGAATATTTTGGCAACGAGTGAAAAACAAAGTCATGCAGTTAAAAATAATAGTTTTAGACGGGGAGCAGGGGAAGTGATAGGCCTGGGTAGTGTCTGGGTTATATTTTAATAGATGATTACAAAATGAGAATTCAGTCATGGTGAAAAATCCATTAAAGTTACAGAGACACGAGTAGTAACAGTGAATTGTTAAACACAGAACTCGGTGGAAATGTTTAGGACTGAATGATGAAAAGACGGACATAGTTGATGTGGAAGCTTTAAGTGATTGTGTTGAGAGATTTGCTTTAATGCTGGACCATGTCCAAAAACCAGATTTGTAGTTTTAACCACTCACAGAACCCCAGCTCTGAAATACAAGACAGGATAAGACATATAAGACAGTCCCATAATACCTTGACAACTCACACCTTCTATTTTCTACCTCAGAAGACGACGTAAAAGACAACACACTGACGACTTCACTGACTGTAACGCAAGCAGCAAACTATCTGATTAATCAAAATCACATTGATAGCAATGCAATTTTTATTATTCATCGACATCGGCCATACATAAATACAGGGTATATGCAGGAATCCTGAAGTCAAATGTAATACCGTTTAAGACCTTTTTTAAGACCCTTTCCATACATTTGAAGACCTCATCGCCACTTTGAGTTTTAACATTGGCGACACTTTACCTCACATTGACTATATACAGTATTGATTGTCCTTCCTGCTTATCTTCCAACCATTTGGACGCAAACTTGCATTTCCCCATAACGATGTTACTTAAAGGTCACATGTCATGGCCATTTCCACTGATCATAATGCCATTGTTGATGTCTACTAGAATAGATTTATAATGTGCAATTTTCCAAACTCACATTGTTTCGCATACAGCATCTCTGTAAACTACGTGTATTCACTCTCTCCACTAAACGGCTCGTTGCAGCTCTTGCCCCCCCCCCCCCCCCCCCTCCCTGTGAGCCCAGTGTGCTCCGATTGGTCGGGACCAGTCGGGACGTTGTGAATCGCGCTGAGCTCCGTGGAGGTGTGATTTCCTTGTTTAGCGATACACAGCGAAACACAGCTGAGCACACACAAAGTCACAGCCGAAGTAAAAACAATAAGTGTGGCTTGATATTGAGTAAGAAAAAGGTTGATAAACGCTGTGAGAATGGGTCTGCAGAGAGAATGGGTCTGCAGAGAGAATTTTGCCGCGATCCCAACTGTCTGTTATCAGCCTGCAGCCAGGGAGGAGAGATCAGCAGAGCTGCCTGCACTGAGTGTGTGAGGAAGTCCGTGGATTGGTCAATTTGGACCAATCAGCGGGGGCTTAACGTAACGGCTCCGCGGACGTAACGTAACGGCTCCACGGATTGGTCCATTTCGTTCCGGGGACGACATGACGTCATGATGTACCAGGAAGAATCAAATGGACAGTGACGTATCTCCAACGAGGCGTTTTGGGGAGGTATTTTCTGTTTTAGAGTTTTACTCCCTACATGGTGTACTTTGAGGGTTTTGACTCTGCACACCGTTTACATGCATAAAAACCTTCATAACACACAAGGGGACGGGTAATAACCGGAAAAGCATGACACGTCAACCGGCGTAAACGGACCTTCGCGCGCTATCAAGCATTGAGCGCGCGATGTCCTGTTCAGATGACGTCAAACCCAACGGGATGCCATATATAAACTACACAGAATCACACTACATACCTACGCAATGATTACATTCAAGCAGACTGTAGAATACAACCTCTTTGGACAATTGATATACTTATTGAAAACAAGATACAACATTTAATACCTTGGAAAATGCCGTTTTTAAGACCCCGCGGACACCCTGAAATTACTACTTATTAGGAACTAGCATTGATTAACAGCTTTAATAGGACACCAAGGATATACAGTTGTCATGGTTCAGCATTATAAGGGGAGGGGGAAAGGATAGGGTCTTTTGTTTCCTATTCTAAAGTAAAGGTTTTCTTTAACAGTAAGGATCTACTGATCTTTAATCAAAAATGTGATGCTCAGAAGACTAATGAACGGGTTTCATCAAACAGCTGATTTTATAAGACTTCCTCAACTTACTTGAACCTTCTTCTGACACCATGCCAAGTCCTTCTGCTTTGTTCTGCCTCTCAAATGCATTCAAGTCCAAGACACTAAGGGAAATAAACAAACAAGTGATATAGAAGTACTTGATGTCTGCACAGAAATTCCTTTTTGTGGTATAGATAATATAACAGCACCTGCAAGACTGCATCAGTCCTGAGAGACCCTTGAAAAAGCCTGCATCTCTTTTCTCTTTCAGGTAATCCAGCATTTTCTGGAAAAAGAGATTAAATGCATTACACCATTTAACTATCAAAAGAATATATGAATATGTTGTGAGTATTTACAGTATGTTGATGAATGGATGGATTGTATGATGACAGTGATACAGTTAAAAGGACAAATAGATAATTATAGTTGAATATTTGAGCTGTATAATCTCACCTGCTGCACTTGCACATTGCCGCCATTTAAGATGGAGATTCCCAGTTTGAGGGTGCAGGTCACCATGGGGCCCAAACGACCTGATGAAGGAGTGGCGTAAAATAAAATAATTCAGAAGCAGGTTTGTCTGATAATAAACTAATCCCTGCAACAAGTCAGAACTTTTGCAAAATCAAATGTGTGTGTGTTTGTAATAATCTGGCAGTGGCTCAGTCAGTACGGGCTTGGACTGTGAGCCGTAGGGTCGCCGGTTCAAGTCCCCGAACAGACCTAAATATGGAGTGTGGACTGATACTTGGAGAGGTCCCAGTTCACCTTGAGCAAGGCACCGGACATCCCCCTTCCTTTAACTGACGCTCAAGTGCCCTTATGTATTGTTCTGTATTTTTTGAAGAGTGCTTGAACTTTGTTTTATTTTGTTGAAATGATAAGTTAACTTTCCGGAAGTCATGTGACCTCTAGCCCCGGATGTTTATATTGTGTTTGTGAGAGAGTAAAAGGGCGCTAAAAGTGTCAACGATGTAATAACATAATTCTACTGCTGGTCTACTAGGCGAACACGTTTTCACGGTGTTTCATAATTGTACAAAGAAGAAAAGAAACGTGATTGTGGACATCAGTTCGATGTGTAATGTTGTTCTTTCAAGACAAGAGTAGTTACACTTCCCCCCCCCCCCCCACTCCCATTGCTCCCCGGGCGCTGTACAATAGCTGAATGTCACTGTGTGCTCTGCATGTGTGACCATTAAAGAGGGGTTTCATTCCTCCGATTCTCGATTCTAATGGCAAGGTTACATTTAAAAAGGTATCAAAACACACTTTTAGCTCCTTAGGGTTAGCAGTAAAATAGTCTAATAAGTATGAATTGTTGTCCCTATTTTCATCAGCACTGTAAAACATGCATTTGGACCTCATGGGACCCCATGTCATTTTGAGATACCTCAAAAGAGTCAAACGTATATGGAGCTAGAACACCAAGGTGAACCTCTGAAAATTATGGCAGCAAATTAAATGTAAACTAATATCGAAAAAAAAAGGGTTCAAGAGGTTGAAGAGTCAACGCAAATGCCGTCTTCAGGGGAAAATGCTTTTAAAGTAACAGAATCATTTTCTTTAAGCTGCCGGCAGAATGTTGAAGCACAGGAACGTTGAGCAATCGTTTAACATCGTTACCTTTACTGGCGCTGATCATCTGCAGCACCATCTCTGCGGCCCCGCGGGCGTGCAGCCTCATCTGCTGATACAGGATCTTCTGCTTTTCCATCTCTTTTTCCTGAGCCACACACACAGCAGCCACGATGATCAATCAGCATGAAGCTCTTTGTTTCTTCACAGGTAACAGATATTAACGTTTCTGGTGAACGGTGAGTTATTGGCTAAAGGACCAGTGCGAGAGCATACCTCAAAAGTCTTTTCTTTCCCTTCTACTTCCTCTTCTTCTTCTTCGTCCTCATCATCCTCTGCACAGCTCTGAAGACACAAAAGTCAACATTCATTCACAACTCAATTTTCATGTTAACTCAAGTCTTACTAGATTTATTTTTGCATAAAAAGAACTTGGTACTACCTTCGCCATCATGTCTGCATACGCTATATACAAAGGGTCTTCTTCCAAGTAACTAAAAATAAGTGAAAGGTAAGTCACAATTTATAAAGTCAACCATAGATATTCAAACTATATTTTATACGTTTTAACACAACATGCAAAAAGAGTACGCACTGCAACTATGGATTATTTGTATCATCTATCAATCCTTTGATTATTTACTCGATTAATGAATTAGTTGTTGGTCTATAAAAAGTGATAAACTGATGAATCTTAACTTTTCCTAGAGAATCATTTATTAACTCGACAGCATTTTAAAAGCATGCTCATTGTAACATTGACTCTCATGTTCAGTGGTTGAACTCCCTCACCTTCTCTCTGTCAGAGCGTTGTGGCTGAAGTGGAGGATGAGTTGGTGGAGAGGGTCTGGTTGGACCTCAGCCACCCTCCTCTTCCTCTTCCTCCACAATTTTCATCGGGGTTTTCTGCAGGAGTCCACAGGTGTGAATAGTTAGCTCTGCCCAAGTCTGATCTGATCATTAATCGTCCCTCTCAGGAAATATCTTTGTTTTGAATCTTCACAAACTTACTGACCATTGTGCACATTAACACATTTATCAAAAACATTCAACTAGCACCGGCATGCAGATGAGTTTGCCATGTTCAGGTGATCCGTGGAAAGGACAGGGCGAGGAAGTTAAGAGTGGAAGATGAACAGCACTGGAAACATTTCTCAAATACATGCAAGTTACAGCAAACAGATGCAAGCAGTCAGCACATTGGTGATATGACTGAACATGGAGAATGACCCTGACGGTATAAGAGCCTGACAACAACTACACAAACTAAGCTGACAGATTTGTAAAATAAATCTGACACTAATAAAAATAACCTTCCCCAACAACAAGCTGCTGTATCTAAGCTGTGCTTAATTCAATGGTTTTTGTGTCTTGATGAATTTGCTAGATCTAATATGAAATGTGATCTCCACGTCACTACGCGAGCATGCCACTGACGTCACGGCCACAGAACGTACTGTAACGCCACCTTCACACTTTCACTACAGACTTACAGAGTACAGCGAAAAGACAACTGATGGGTTGGATCCAGATCTGACAGCCAAACAGCTAGAGACTCCTAGTGAATGGCCCTCCTTACCACTGCGGTCAGAAAGGCAAAGCCTGCTTTTCTACAGCTGTGAGCGCCGGAGCTGGCCCTGTGTCTCCTGAGTTGGTCATGCAGCCTCTGACCCCTGACGGATCTCAGTTTGGATGCTTTTGCGCGCCTAGAGCGGGGGCCGCCCCTGGGTGCTTTGGGCGAGGTCCCCACCCGGGCGCGCTCCCAAGGCTCGACGGGCGCGGAGCTAAAGAAGCATTCGGCAGACAGGACTGGCAGAGGGGGGCCAACGCAGGGCACGTGGGGCAAGGGCAAGGCGAGCCCAGTACTTACTGCCAGATCCTGAACTAGCTTCTCCTCAAAGGAGTATTCCTCTGCCTCTATCCAAAGTCTCTGATAGGCCGGGATGAAGAAGTTGATAGCGCGATGCCTGGGGAGGGGGGAGGTATGGAGGGGAGTGGGGAGGGAGGTAGAGTGGCATTAGGGCGGGTACTGGTGAGTTTTTGGAGGAGACAGGAAGGAGAGATGTCAGGGGAAGGAAGGGGTTACAGGAAGTGCATTTCAGGCAGGGTGGTGATTGGTCAATGTGGGACCCACTGGCTCTTCTGACTGGTCATATTTGGTCTATAAAACAACTGCAGTTATTTTTGTAAAGTTGTAAAATTCATTAGAGGAGCATGCACATTTTAGGGGGGATGTGCAGTTTTCCAACAAATCAGTGCTTTAACAGATTTTCTTTGTGCAATTTTTTGAATTGATATCATATATTTTCGTTGACAAAGCTGCACAGATATGTTGTAAAACTGCACAACCTTCGGCAAAATGTCAAATAAAGAAATCATCATAATGGCAGGAAGCAAAATAACATAAAACAACTTTAATACTGTATATTACTATTAATTTAATTTATTTCTTTCTTTCTGTCTTTCTTCTTCTCTCCTTTCTTCATTCCTTCCTTCAGAGTACACCTGAAATGAGACAAAAGCCTGCAGCTCGCAGTTTGTTTCCACTTTCCAAATAAGTTTGTTACAGTCAATTCTTTGGCTCTTTCTAGCTGACCAATCAGAATCAACAGTGCAGAAACAATTGGTTGCTGGGCAGAGTTCAGTCCACAGCCTGGTGGATGAAGGGGGGGTTGAACAGATGAAGCATTCGCCCTGTAGTTTCACTTTACCGTCAGCAAGGAGAACAGGCGGTCAAAGCTGGAGGCTTTGAACGCCCTTTCCAGCCAAACCTCCCGATAGCCATTCAGGAAGTAATTATTATTTTTGTATCTGAGGGAGGATGAGGTAGTATTATGCAAGAAAACAAACCAGAGGAGAGAATGTCATTAGGGCGACGATGAGGGGTTTACATGGGCACACAATCAAGAAAAAGAATGCCCATGATTACTTGGTGGTTGATTGTTATGTACGGTTAGATTGAAACAAAACAATGTCTATTTCATTATTGACATTGTATATATACGTTTCAGAAATCCACACAAAGTGTAAAGAAACCCCTCACCTAGGTAGATTGTAGAGAGGAGCCATCCGGAAACAGGCCACCACAGCACGCTTACGCTGTTTGGACAGCAGCTTATGGAACACAAGCTTCTTATTCCTCAGAGGCTGCTCCACCTGAGGGACGAGACGAAAATGGGAAGGTGCTTGAAACTGTATTATGTAACAGAAAATACTAAACTTAAAATTGTATAGAAAACTGAAAACAGCATATTCTAATCTTCTATTTCTTATCTTCTCATTTCTGCCAATAGTATATATTTTTTAATCCTTTAGCATTTACACATATATGTTTTATTTTAGTATTGCTATTCTTCTTTTTCATTTGAATTGTTATAATTATTTATTATTACATAAGTGTTTTTAAGTTACTTTTTAAATATTACTATCGCTCCATGTATAGAGGTATTCACTATGTACATTTACCTGCGTTAAATATTATTAAAAGCAACTTATAACCGAATGATTTAAAAGATAAAACAAGTGAATCATAGTCATTTTTTTCTGAAAACAGCAACTAATAAATTAGCATAGAAGAGGTGTTTAATTTCTGTAGATTGTTTAATAATCCACCACTTGAAAGTACTCACATAATTAGAACACTCACATAAGCAACCTTTTGTTCCCTTGCCTATAATGTCTTACCCAAGTAATTACTGTTGTGTCAAATTATCTTTGATCTACTTCTACATATGAAAAGCAATACTGCAGATGCCTTTCTTTTTCATCCTGTGACGTATTGCTGTGAGAGCTGTGTGTCTACCTGCTCCAGGTGGAAGACAGCAGCTGAGATGCTCTGCACTCGGTACACGGTGTGTTCTAAGTTAGCGGGTTCCTCGCTCTTCACCACCACGTCTTTGTACAGGTTCATCTGCCACTGGACCGCCGGGTCTTCACACTACAGCACAATAACATCCAAATCAATAGATAAACAGCAGCTTTGAAAGTATATTACTCAAACCGCACACAAAACACTATCTCACCTTGTCCTGGAGATGGAAATTCAGGCGCAAGTGTTCCTTCACCTCGTCATCTGTGTCTTTCTATGAAGGGTATTCAAAAGAGAGAAAATGCAATGCAGTGTCAGTACAGTCATCCTTAATATAGCTTTCATATTTGTAGTTCCATAAACACTGAATGCCGATTGCACCAAAGATAATTGACCTCTGACTGACATAATGAAATAGAAGCTGAGGTCTGTAAAGCCAATAAAGACAATAGTGACCACTGTGAGTTAAAGTACAGGGAAGAGGCACCACTCTGGCTTAATCTAGATCAGTGGTTCTCAAACTTTTTCTGTCAGGCCTCCCCTTTGGAGAAAAAAAAAGTCGGGCCCCCCCCAACACAAATAGTCAGGCTCAGTGGCGGCGCCAAAGATTTCTTTTGGGGGTGCTGTGGGGTAGCTTGACGTTTCATAGAGGGTGCTCAAACATTTAGGGTTTCCCATTAATGTACCGGGCGCTACAGTGGAATGTTCTACTGCAACAATCCCCACGCAAATACACAGTGTACCCGTGACTGTTACAATGAAGGCTCGATAATCAGCTCACGGCATATAGGTGTAAGCAGGGGTAAAGTGCTATTTTTATAGGTGGTGTGTGGACCTCACATAGGGGGGTCCGGGGCAAGCTCCCCCGGGAAGATTTATTTTTAAATATTGAAGTTAAAAGCATCAATCTGGTGCACTTTGAGAGCAAAATTAAGAGATCTATGGATACCTCTCTCAACACCCATATGAAACAGAACTGTTAACAGATTTACTTTTTCTTTATGGATATTTTACAAATCACCCTTTTAAACTTTATTCTTTTTTTACTGTCATATAGTATTTCATACCTGTTTTTCATTTATTCTCTTATTTTTGTATAACTATAATGATCATATACAGTAAACGTGTGCCTCGGAAATCATTTTTTACATTAATGGTGACTAAAACATTTGAGACCCACTGAGATAACACTGACAGAGTCCTTTAGCTGTATACCAAGGCGGTTATGCCATCACTTACTGTACGGAGGCTCAGTCACTGGTACTTTTTCATTTACAAAGCCATGTTGGATAAACTACCATCTTATATCTGCTCCCTGATCTCTCTGCGAATTGAAAGTACTTATTGCCTGAGATCGCATGCTGTGGTTTTATTAAATGTGCCAAGTGCTAGGACTGTCTTAGGGAAGAAAGCTTTTAGATGTGCAGCTCCACTAACTTGGAACAGTCTGCAAAAAGAATGGAAAATTACCAAGCTAGTACCACTACATGTTTTTAAAGCTCGGTTGGATGCTACACAATCAGATGCTGTTGGTACCTGTACTTGTGGTTAAATATGTAAATTGTAATCCCTGTACATTTTGCTGTATGATGTCCTTTTGTTGTTCTGTTGTTTATGTTTTCTTGTGGAACCTACTGCTGCAGGTCTCCCTTGAAAAAGAGATCATTGATCTCAATGGGATTTCACCTGGATAAATAAAGGTTTTGAATTGAATTGAATTTTAGCTCACTGAGTCTCTTAGTCTGACAGGAGAGGACTCTCCTCCACTTTGTTGTTGACAAAACTCCTTATATCTGTTAGCGTAGCTCGCTAGCACCAGAAGCTAACAACAACGATCTCCACCGGTGCGCTCTCTCTCGCGCACACACAAATGGCGCGGCACACACACACAACACACACACACACACACACACACACACACACACACACACACACACACACACACACACACACACACACACACACACCACACACACACACACACACACACACACACACATCACACACACACACACACACAACACACACACACACACACACACACACACACACACAACACACACACACACACACACACACACACACCACACACACACACACACACACACACACACACACACACACACACACACACACACACACACACACACACACACACACACAAGCTTTAATGAAACACACACACACGAGCTTTAATGAAACACAGAGACCCAGACGTAATAGTACTGTACTGCATCATATTATTTTCGAATCCATTTTTCAAATTATGAATTTTTTTTTTTTTTTATAACCATTTTTCCTCCTGGTCTCTCGCGCCCCCCCTGGCATGCCTCTGTGCCCCCCAGGGGGGGCGCGCTCCCCACTTTGAGAACCACTGATCTAGATCAACTGGTCAACCCTCGGGACCCACTTTTTTCCTTTGTCAATAAATAGCGACCCGAAATTTTGAACCACTCAAATCTATCTAACAAAAATTCGTTTTTTGCTTTTCAGCACATCATATTAATTACAGTGAAGTAGCCTACAGTGCATATATCCCTTATATCCCTTCACAGAACTAAAGTATGCTTTTAAAAAAGGTTTAATGAGATGATGGAATCAAAGCTGAACTGTAACATAAAAAGGCACACATGCTGAAAACCCAACCCCAGAAGGGGTGTCTGGGGGGATTACTTTACATTGTGGGTAAGGGTAGATAGCCCCCATTGTTCTGTGACCTGTCAATCATCAAACCGGGGGTCATGTTTCATTAGGTGTTCATTTTTATCTGAAGTTGTACCCATGGGTGTATAAAGAATAGTTATACCGCAAAGTTATTCTCAGTGGGGACTTCCGGAAACAATCTTGATTCTGATTGGCCAGAAGACTCGAAAAAACATCAGCAAAGATGTTTTATTGAGAAGATGATCACTACGTGACAGAAGTTTTCAAAGCCGTTTATGGTCTCCGGTATTTACTGTCCAACGCACAGCGATAGAACATTTGGCCTTCAAAATAAAAGTTTGACTTCCCCCCCCCCAAAAAAAAGACATTTTTCTTTTTCAATTATTTTTTTCTCACACATCTGCGGCCCACTCGAAACGGGTCCTCGACCCACTTTTGGGTCGCGACCCACCAGTTGAGAACCACTGATCTACAGTATATGTACGGTTAGATGATTTAGAAAGTTGAACTTTTCTAAAAAGGTACAAATTAATCTATGATTGAATCAAATGATAAGACCTTTAAGATAAGGCCCAATAAAATGACAGAGTAATAAGAGATAGAGTACATGTGGGACATACAGCATAAACAAGTGAACTTTCAAATGAAACTAGGTCGTGTTTTTGCCAGCTCACCAGACTGTAGCGTATCTTGGCGAGGGAGATGAGCTCCTGATCTCCGGGCGTGCACATGTTGAGGCCGATGGGCAGCAGCTTCTTCAGCGCCGCCACGATCAGCGACGTCTGGACGGAGTAATACTCGCCGCGGCGCCGCTTGTGTTTCCTCTCCTGGTCGCCTCCTGACTACAAAGAGAAAGAAGACAATGATATCATGACAACACACTGCTGTTTTCCCTACAATAGCTTCATCTTGTCCTATATTTTATTTTAAATGTAGAATTATCCTATTTTATCTACTTGTTGGCTTGTTTTATGTCAATGTTATAATTGTTTGCTTTTATGTAGAGCACTTTGTTGTGCATGACCAGCACTATAGAAAATAAGATCCATTACTACAAACTGCATTTTATGCCATTTTCCAAAAGTTGTACTCGACCAAACAGGAATACAAAAAAGTAGTATGAATTGTTTTTGACTGCCTAAATAGAAATTAAAGTGTATTGAATCCATAAAGGCAAAATGCTTTTTATTCAACTAGGCAAAGCTAAGAGACTTTACCGTCATATTTCCAAATAAGCACTCAAATACAATTTAGACAGCACAAGAAGGGTGTTTCACCTCTGAACAATCAATTAGGATTAATTACATACCATACACATACCAAGTCTTTCTACATAAATCAGACCTTCAAGATCAATAGCAGAGGTTTTTCTTTTTCAACTGTGACCTAGCGCGTAAAAATACCTTGCAAATAAATAAAACTCTTCGGGTCTGCCAAAACAAATAAACAACAAACACTCACAGTGACAGCTAGCTGAGTGGCTGCTGCACCAATCACTGTCAACATCCAGATATATGACCCACCTACTGTATAACCCAACTATGGTAAATATCCTCATAACGTGTTGTAAACCCTCGCTGTAAAGGGGCATTTAAGAGGTGTGAACTCATACAGTTGAATTGAAGAACATCCTACATCTACATACCCCGCTTGTTCAGCACGTGTCAGGGAATCGATTAAACACACAGGAAAAAAGCTGAGAAGGACTTTCCCTTTCATTATGAGAGTCTGTGAAATACACTAGAAAGAAATGGAGCCATTCCCTGTCGGGAAATATTCAGGTTGTGTTCACCTTTTCGCAGTGGCGAGCCGTCAGGGCCCTCTAGACAAGATATTCTACAAAATAATATTTTAAAACATTAAAAATATATATATTTATTTTAATATTTTTTTAGTTATATTTTTCATTAGTTTTACCAAAATAACTTGATTTAATTGTATTTAAAATAACATTTCCAAAGAAATAAATCCTTAAAATCTGCCTATTCAGTTTCTGTTTGAATGTGAAGGGTTGAAGGAAAGAAGCTCCTTTAGCCGTCTCTGCGAGTTACTGTGAAGAGAGGAGCTGATTGGTGGTCCTGCTGTAAATTCACAGAGGGGCCCGCTATAGTAACTGAACGAGAGAGTAATGTCAAATGACAGTACAATTGACCAATCATATCTTCCCTCTAAATGAGTGGGTTTTATTTTCGTGGACTTTATGACAAGTTCTGCCCGCTGTGAAACTTGTCTTGTTTCCATAGCAACAACAACTTCCTGTCAACAGCATAAACTCGCCTTCAAAAGAAAAGCATGCCAAATTACACTGAAGACATACAACTGCAACGAAAGTAACAAACACAATGCAATATCCTTTTCAATTTCAAAGAACACAAATTGGGTTATTTACAGGTGATGTTTTGTGTGGTAGAGGGTCACTTTCATTGATGCGTTTTGCACCCCGGGCCGTTATTTTGATATTTAGCTGAAGTATACGCTGTGACGTAATAACTCTTATTTAATTTTTTTTCCGAGGGAAGGGGTGGGGGTCAGAGGGCCTAGGTATAAAAGTCACGGCTCGCCACTGGCTTTTCGAAAGTGGTGACGCAGTGAAGAGGACAGCAGGAAGTGAGACAAGTCAAAATGAAACCCAGAGAGAAGTAAGAGGTACCCTGATCACCGCCTGGGTGAATTACAGGGCAAATGTGGTACAAAAGAGCTTTAGTTTATCATAATGACAAAACATGTCACTCAGTGCAACAGTTTGGGTCATTGGGGAGTTTATTATAGTAACAGGTCCACATTGTAGCTATATGGAAGGGATGAATAAGACGATACCTGGCTGTGATTGGGATCAATTCCTTGTTGTTCTTGGGCTTTTAATGACATTAGGAAACAACAGAATAATTTTGCCCTTGTATTGACCCATATCATATGTCACTTCTATTTGATTTACCTTGGACATCTTCGCCTTGCCCTCTCCAGTCAGGAAGCCCAGATTGTTGATCTCATTCTGAACCACAAAGTTTTGCTCCTCACGTTTGAAGTTCTGGATTCAGAGGACAATAAAAAGAGGTTAAACAGGAAAGCCTTCCTCATGAAGCAGTATCCTTAAATCAAATGGTGGTATTGAATTCAGAGACTTACATGGGACTTGCACCAGAGGATGAAGATCTCAGCCACCATCCTGAAGAGCTCAGTGGAGTCTGCATCCGGCTCCTTCAGCCACCTGGACCTGGAATCAACCAAAAACATTTTCAATAGGGTTACACTTAGTTTAACTACATCTGATCAGGACATCAAAATGAAAAAATCTGTGTGATAAAGCTCAGATAATAGAGAAAATATTCACATCTTAAACTGAGCAAACCAATGCTTACTAAATCAATATCCTCCAATTCATTTTTGTAAATAAATACATATCTTTCTTTTCCAGTACCTGTTGTTGTCCACGTAACGGATGAGCATGGGGTAGAAGGCATAGAGGTCTCTGCAGAGCACGGCAAACTCATCCAGGATGAGCAGCTCGGCCTCCTGGGTGTCACCTTTACTGTCGGCCTTCAGCAGCTCCTCTTCACCCACAACCTTTAAATGCATCACATCAACAACTCATCTCCGGCAATCCAATTTTTATTCTCCTCACACATGACCCCTTTCAACTCAGTGGTAATAACCTCCTCCCTGTAAACTCTCACAGTGAAGTTAGTGAGGAAGTGTTACTCTCTGTAGGTGATGGGACTCAACATAATGTTCTTAGACTAGCTCATATATATATTAGGGCTGTCAGTCGATTAAAATATTTAATCGCGATTAATCGCATGATTGTCCATAGTTAATCGCGATTAGTCGCAAATTAATTGCAACATTTTTATCTGTTCTAAATGTAGAGGAATATTTTTCAAGTTTTTAATACTCTTATCAACATATGAGTGGACAAATATGCTTTATGCAAATGTTTATTATCATTTGAACAATGACAAATATTCTCATGAATATGAAACACAACAACCTCTGAACCTCTCTCATACAATAATACAATAGGTGTGTGTGTGTGTGTGAGTGTGTGTGTGTGTGTGTGTGTGTGTGTGTGTGTGTGTGTGTGTGTGTGTGTGTGTGTGTGTGTGTGTGTGTGTGTGTGTGTGTGTGTGTGTGTGTGTGTGTGTGTGTGTGTGTGTGTGTGTGTGTGTGTGTGTGTGTGTGATGGATCGTTGGGTGCAACTCAAGGCATATGCTCGAACCGGAGCTGCCTGGACGCTGCAATCATGTTGCGCACTATCCGTGCTGAGTGTGCTGACTTTTCGTACAATGTCCCACTGTCTGGCTTCCTGCATAAAGTCAAGTGCTCGGCGCAGTTGTGGCGAAATGTCGCTCCTCTGTTTTCATTTAAACAGCTCCATATCCGTTATCGCAGCTAGCTAGCACCAGATACTAACAACAACAATGCACGTAAGGTCTCTCTCTCGCTTGCTGGGGCCACACATACACACACCCTCCCGGTCCTCCCAACAGCCAGTCGGTGCCTGCCGGTGAGCGTGGAAGTGTGGTCTGCCACAAGCGGGCGGCAGGAGCGGGGCTGTCAGCATCAGCTTGTAGATGGTATTTTAAACTCGATGCGCTCTGAAACTACGGGGCGGCCGAGGAAAAAAAAATACACATGCGTTAATCGCGTTAAAATAATAAGTGGCGTTAATTTTTTTTTAACGCGTTAACTTGACAGCCCAAATATATATATATTAGGGCCGGGACTTTAACGCGTTAATTAAGATTAATTAATTACACAAAAATTAACGCGTTAAAAAAATTAACGCATTTTAATCGCACTTATTTTTGCACCGCGGAACGTTTCTCACTGGATGAGTTTCAGGCGTACCGATTATACTGGAGCACCAACTAACGTTCATGACTTCAGACAACAACAAACCACAGTGAACAACAGTGGGAAATGTTGTTTTGAAAAACGGACGGATGGAAGCGTCGATAAGAGCACGGTTGTGTGCAAATTATGCAAAAAGGAATTCGCATATCACCGCAGCACATCAAGCCTCAAGTATCACCTCAATGTAAAACATATAGCAGCTAGCGTGGACGTTAGCCTCTTTTATCGCGTTCACACCAAAAAGAGCCGGTACTAAAATTAGTTCATGAGAACCTTTTTATCCCCACGAAAGTCCCTGCTAGAGAGCAGAGAGCTGCTAGAGAGCAGGGACTTTCGTGCGGCTCTCTTGTGAGAAAAGAGCTATATTTCTGATTGGCTGGGCGGATTGCAAACCACGCCCCGTAAAACTCCCAAAAAGTTTTGTGAAGCCGCCATTTTATTATCCTCGCATTAGCATTATTAGCATTAGCATTATCCCAGCGCAGAAACGCAGAGAGACTAACTTATGGCAACACAAAATAAAACATGGGAGCGGTGGAGATGAGGAGGTGTCGGCGTTCTGGCGATTTACTCGGAAGGCTTCAGTAGAAGCTGCTGGGACTCCCAGCAGCTTCTACTGAAGCCTTCCCCAACTCCGGGGACCTCCGGCCGGGGACTTTGGGCGGCAGTATACGCCGTGAAGTGGTTTGCGGCCTGCCAGTAAACCCAAAGCAGAAGAAGAACAAGTGACGTCAGCGGCTTCATTTGCCTAATCCACCCTCAGGTTCAAAGAGTTCTCATGAACTAAGTTCTCATGAACCTTTGTGGGAAAAGTACTGCGGTTGTGAATGCGCCCTAATGGTATACTAAAATCCATGTGAAAAAAATTGCTTCTCACTGTTCTCAGGTCAAATATTTATGTGATTAAAAATGCGATTAATTTCGATTAATTAATTACAAAGCCTCTAATTAATTAGATTAATTTTTTTAATCGAGTCCCGGCCCTAATATATATATATATATATATACTATAAATACAGCTGCTTATGATGGAGTCAGCTAAAATCGACTTTAATCACAGGTGTCACTTAGCAGTGGATACAGTGTGCTGCTGTTACGCCATGTACATTATATTTTAAGCTCTCACCTTCACCGTCTTGTTCCTCAATTTCTCCAAGGTGGGCAGGAAGTGGGTTCTCAGCAGATGTGCTCCCGCCTTGCAGATGATTGGCTGAGAGTAGACTGGACAGAGACAATGGAAAAATATATATTTTGGACATCTGAGAAAATGATGCTTTCAAGAATATGAGAGGTTTATGTGAGGATTTGTACAAAAGGACAATTAGGGCCATTGTAGAAAAAAATATTGTATATAATCAAGGAGCTTATTGTTGCAATTTAATGCATATTGTTTACCTAAAATGGCTTTAATTTGCTGTTGTAAATATGCAACTAGGGTATTAACACACAGACATTTTATTTTTGTCACAACTGCCATTCTATATTCATAACATAGCTTTACCAGCAATTGTACCTGTGTCCCTCAACACACAATTATAATAAAAGCGAGAGATATTAGTTGTAGAATAGTTGAATAAATAAGACACGGCATGAGTTTTCCTTTGTCTGGTTTCCTTTGTAAATGTGTTGAAAGTAAAATATTCAAATGTAGTTTCATGAAGTGTGATTGCCTGAGGCTGTTTTCTCCCTCAGCAACCAATTATGTTATCTGGCCTCTCCTGAACTCCCACAGAGGAATCAATGAGCATAGAAAAGGCAAAACGTTGAGAAAAACAATCATACTTTATTGTATTCTAGGTTGGTTTCCTTAATTAAAATTACTTTTCAGACTTATTGTTATTTTGCTGAAGTCTGACCTTTTTTGTTTGACCCTTCCCATGATTGCTATGTTTTTCTAAGCAGAGAAGGAATGAGTGGGTTTGATTCTACTTCTGATGAGAATATAACTCACCTCCGAGTTACATTTAAATGCAAATTTCCATGAAGCAATTCATTAAAAATTCTCTCACATTTCCTGAAAAAACTAGGATATTCATTTATTACAAGCATTAACTATGCAAGTCGGTAAACAAACACCCTCTTTAAATGATAGATATTCTTTCTCTCAAATCTTGAGCCTGGTCGTTACCTGCAATCCTCTTCATCCAGGGGGCGTCATCGATACCCAGGTTGTTGTTGAGGATCTTGAGGATGTTTGCCAGGATGATGCTGAGGTGTTCAGAGGTCACCATAGTGCAGCACTGGGCATCTGAAGAGGAGTTTTCCGGACCCTTCTCCCACCAGTATGACAGATAGTTACACAGCATGGGAAGGATCACCTCAATGACCTGCAGCAGACAGACAGACAGACAGACAGACAGACAGACAGACAGAAGGTGAATTGTCTGAATGACTGAAGGTGTATTGACAGTAGAGGCAATAAGGAACAGATTGTTTTGTTTGGGAACTAAAGCTCTAAAAATGAATGTATAATGTTACTTAGAACTTTGCAGCAATGATGGATTTGGAGATGTTATGGTAATATGTCATGTTGGTGTGAAAATCTTAAAATAATGTGTGTATTTTGCATTAAGTTTTGTAACTCACAAGAGACATATTTTAAAAAGTAAGACCAGAATTGATGAAGTACAGGTTGAGATATCCTTGATGTTAGTCCCTTAACATTGCATCCTACCCAGAATGCTACTTTAAGCATACAAGCAGTGGCCATGTTGCTAAGAAACAAAACACCTAAAACATGCTGTATCTATTCATTCAAATATCCCATCAGCCCTTCTGACCTGTGGCATGTCGGAGTAGCGAGCACCGGACTCTGAGACATCGCTGACGTCTTTCAGCAGTCCTTCAAGGCGAGGCATCTCCGGACACATCTCCATCACCGTGTCCGGCATACTCAGGACTAGAAAGGAATAACACCAAGACATTTTTTTAATGACATTTCAAGAAACTCAGAAGCATCAACTTTGTTCAAGACTACAATCTGTCAGGCCTGTGTTCTTTATCATTTTTCACTGACATTCTCCCTTCTTCTACCTGGTGGTTTCACAGCCTCATAGTAAGAGTCAGGTACAGCCTGAACAACATTGTCAAAAACTCTTATAAGATCATCCATCCATTTTTTGGGCGACTGTGGCTGCGAGGGAGTGCGGTCGTCTTTCAACCAGAAGGTTGTGGGTTCAATCCCAGCCCGTGCAGTCAACATGTCGATGTATCCTTGGGCAAGATACTTAACCCTGAGTTTCTCCCGATGGCCAACAGTGTGTGAATGTTAGGTCCTAGAGTAAGGTACACTGCTCTGTATGAATGGGTGGATCACATGTAGTATGTAAAGCGCTTTGAGGGGTCGTAAAGACTGGATAAAGCGCTATATAAGTACAGTCCATTTACCATCGAAGTGAAACAAAGAGACGTGAATTATTTCTGCAACCAATAAATCCTCTGGAAAGCAGCAAGCTTTTTGATTTCTTCGGATCATTTTCTCAATACATTTTTCAAATTCTCTGCATTTATCATCCCTTCTGCATCTTGCTTTGAAATGCAATGTAGGCTTATTTAAACATTCCAGTTTGAATTTATCATTTTATATCTATTTTTCAGGTTTTCAAATAGTTGTAAAATCGATGATAAATCAGAACATTGTAAATGATTGGGACAGAAGTCAATATTAAATGGAGGATCTGCTGCTGGACACTCACTGGCTCTCTCTCGGGGGGTCTTGGTGTTGAACACAGACATCGGGTTGTGAGCGTTGAGTTGAGGCTCCAGGAACGCCACAGGCATGGCGGCCACCAGCGTCGCCAGACTCTCCCCCAGCGCAGGAAGATGCCTGCAGGTCAACATGTACAAATGTTTAAAGGCCTAATCAACACTGACAAGTACAATTGAATCCATACATTTGTTAGTCGTTTCATGCCAAATCTCGTAGACGATAGAAATGACATTAAGCACATATCGTTATCAAAACGTAATGATTAAATATACAGTACGGCTCATGTGTCGATCAAAATAACATTTAAAATTCTGCTGCATGTTTCAGGAAAAGTGTGGACTCATACTTCTCCACAAAGACGTTCTTTCCCGTTCCCAGACAGTAGAAACAAGCCAAGATCCGGTAACAGGACAGCTGCACATCATTCACTGAAACAAAAAAAACATAAAAGTACAGTTATTTTTATACAAGCGAAAGATTAGCTTTACATTTGAGTAAATGTAACAATTGAATGCATGATAATTGAAGGCTTGTAATGACTTGGTGTTAGGTACAAGACCAATGTCCTTAATTTGTCCTTAAATTGTGGATTGTGACCATTACTGTTCAGTTACTTTCTTTTCTTCTAGTTATTGTGATGTGTTTTTTATGATATATTCATGTTTGTTTTTAATTAAAAAGCATTTCAAACTCTACAAATAATCTGAAAAAGCAAACACAAACTCACAGAGCAGATCCACTTCAAACTCGTATGTGGTGATGTGCTCGAACAGGGCGGTGAGGATGGGCAGCAGCGCCACCGTCACGTAGTTGATGCTCTGCGTGACGCTCTTCAACTGAGCCCGGGACTGCATGAACTTCCCCAGCTTCAGCATCTCCACCAGCTTCTCCAGGTCCTCCGCCGCGTTCTCAAAGAAAGTCTTGAAGCTGGCTTTGACCAACTCTGAGCCGGACTTCATCACCGTTCTGAGAGAAGAGAGGAGACACAAAGGTGCAAGAGCAAGCTCAAGAATAGCTATAATGGTCCTTTTGGTGGATCACTGTGCTTATATTGACAACGATGTGTGCTTACCTGGTGTCGACTGTTTGAGAGAGGATGTGCAGACAGCTCACCATCATTGCAGAGTCACTTCCTGTAAGAGAAACAATCACTGTAGATGTGGAAGGAGATTCAAGCCGAGCGCAACAGGAGCATACAGACAGAGGCAATGCAAACCTTACCAAAGAGAGAAATCCTGTGTCTGACAAGAAGTGCCAGCTTACAGAACAGGCTGGAAAAGAAAGACGGTAAGAGCAGAATTGAACAAAAGGCAATCAGAGAGAACAAAGAAGAGCTGAGATGTAAGCAAGGAGGTAAGAAAAGATCTGATGAAAATATAAAGGAGAACTCTTAAAAGGGAAGGTTTTTTAGCTGGGAATGCTCAAAGACCAATACAACTCTGATCAATGTAAAAACTGATTACACAAATGTTACATTACTTAACCACAGTACCTGGTGAGCATCTCCTTCTCTTTGCTGGAGGCACAGCCGCAGCTGCTCAGGTTCTTGCTGGGCGTGGACAGGAAGTAGAGACAGTGGTTCTTGAAAGTTTGATCTATCAGAGGAAGCAACACCTGGGGAGAAGAAATCCAGCCATGTGAATAAGACCTTAAAAGGTGGGGGAGGTAAGAATGGAGAAACCAGCTCGAGTGCGCTAGAATTTGAAAGTACACAACCGAAAAAAATCTGCCCCTTCCTTCAGACTTCCTCACAGAGCCCCTCCTCCAACAGACACGAACGCGCACATGACCAATGAGGGCACGAGATCAGTTTGTGCACAGATGGAAGGCTGACAGGCAGGTAGGCCATCCAGTTACTTTAGCCGGGTCGGTTCAGATGATTGGTCGTGCTTTTTACAGCGCCACGGCTTCCACAGATGACATTTTTTAATGTATTTATTGTCAAAGCATTTAATATATTCATTGCTATCGGGATGTTAAGAGCATTCCATGGAATATAACAAAAAGTGTTTCTGAAGTGAATTACCTACCCCACCTTAAATACAAGCTTTAGAAATAAAGTAAATCTAATACGTATCACTGGTTCTGTTGCAAAAGTTTCAAACCTTGGCAAAGAACTTGATTTCCTGGTCATGAGGCGATTTGTCCGTCTTCCCACTGGTGGCCATGGCCTCTGGATTAATACAAAATGATGAGTGGCAAGTTCAGGATAATCACATTCCTCAAACGAGATCATAATAAATGTCAAGCACCTCTCAGTGCACCTGTGTTTGAAATGTCACACACTCACCCAGATGAGCGATGAACTCCTGGGCAGAGTCGACGTACTTCAGCAGCGTTTTGAGGAGCATGTATGTAAAACGCTTCTCCATGGATGATGAGTCCTGACCACGTCCTTCTGATCTCTGTAGCAGAGAGAATCACAAACAAATTATGTGCAACTACATACAAATTCAAAAGACTCTTTCATTTTCTATCTACCCTTACTGCATAATGTAGTTATTTTAACATAACAGTGTTTTATTTAACATATTCATCTTCCTAATTAATCTATCAAATGACTTTTCCTAATCACAAAGTTTAAAACGTTTTTTGTTTCTGTAATTGACTCAACAGGAGTCATTGTAGATAAGGGTTGCCCTCCTGATAATCACAAGTATACAAAAATGAAGAATGAATAAAGAAAGAAAATTGCTTGTAGTCATAGTATTACATTACATTGCATTTAGCTGACGCTTTTATCCAAAGCGACTTACAATAAGTGCATTCGACCAAGAAGACACAACTTGAAGAAGAAAACAGAATCATATAAGTACATCAGGTTTCATAGAGCCAAAACATTTCAAGTGCTACTCAACTGGCTTTAGATAAGCCAGTCCTTTATTAGTATATAAGTGCTTTGTTAGTATATAAGTGCTTAGTAGTATATAAGTGCTTTGTTAGTATATAAGTGCTTTGTTAGTATCTAAGTCCTTAGTTAGTATATAAGTGCTTAGTAGTATATAAGTCCTTAGTTAGTATATAAGTGCTTAGTAGTATATAAGTGCTCTGTTAGTATATAAGTGCTTTGTTAGTATCTAAGTCCTTAGTTAGTATATAAGTGCTTAGTAGTATATAAGTCCTTAGTTAGTATATAAGTGCTTAGTAGTATATAAGTCCTTAGTTAGTATATAAGTGCTTAGTAGTATATAAGTGCTTTGTTAGTATATAAGTGCTTTGTTAGTAATTTTATCGCTCGAAGTGGAGTCGAAAGAGATGAGTTTTCAGTTGCGCGCCCGGAAGATGTGTAAGCTTTCTGCTGTCCTGATTTCAATGGGGAGCTCATTCCACCATCTTGGAGCCAGGATAGCAAACCCACGTGTTTTTGCTGATGGGAACTTGGGTCCCCCTCGCAGTGCGGGTGCAGCGAGCCGTTTGGCTGATGCAGAGCGGAGGTGCACGTGCTGGGGTTGTACGGTTTAATAGTAGACATAATCAAGATCAAATGTGTAATTACAAAAGACAAAACAAAGGGTGGCATGAAGTCCACCAAACACTGAACTTAAGAACTCAACTTTAAGATGTTTGTTGTTTATGCCAATTGCATTAGTGTTATTTTATTTTTCAATGTAGGAGAACTTGGTGAGTGAGGGGGTTTACCTCATGATGGCATAGCCGCTGATCTGCAGGAAACTTGAAGAGCTCCTGGGCCTCTCTCTGTCTCTGTGCTTCTCTTTAGCGGTCAGGGTGTCATAGGGAACCAGCAGCGGGTGGGCTTCCCCTCCTCCTGACAAGTCAATTCAGATTCACATAAATAAAAAAAGTCAGAATTACTTGAAGTTTTGAATAGTCTAATAAGGGCAAAACATTTCCTCTCAAACCATGGACTTACACACCTTTGCTAACAAGTTCAAATTTCTTCTTCTTGGACCAGATGTTGTGGTAGTTTTCTGCAACCACCTCCACCATGCCCTGCAGATACAGTAAATAAAACAGATTAGAGCATTTTGCCACTTTATTAGTTCAGTCAGACAACTCACGTGTTTCTTAATATGTTATTAGAAGCAGCAGCATATAGTTTGAGTTTGGTGTCTAGGCTCGGGCCTCATCACTCCACAGATGTACAAAGAACATTGAGTGATGATTAGATAACTATCCCCCGAGCCTACAGGTGGAAGCTGGGGTGGTGGTGGGACAGGCGAGCAGCAGCAACATGAAGCACAGCAGCAGGAACATGAACGCAGCAATAGCAAGTGAACACAGCAGTGGCAGCAGCATAGCGAGGAGGCAGAGGCAGGAAGACCTGGCAGCTTAAATAGAGCGGCATGTTTAGGAGAATGTGTTTGGTTGGTTGTAAGAGGGACGAGGTGCGTCACGTGTTAATGTATCATTGGTGCTCGAGTTGACTGCCTGAACTAGCTCAACAAGATGAAAAAAAAGTTGAACAGAAACTAACCTGTAGCTCTCTTGACAAAGTGACATTGTTCAAATCCATTGGAGCAGGACTGAATCCATCATTCTGCAAAGTCAGGAAGCACAAATTATTTCTGTTTAAATCAATATGTAGTTAACTTTC